GTGGGCCATAACGCCCGTACGTGCCAAAAAGATGTAGAAGAAGATTCTATGTTAGATGCAAGTGAGTCGTACGAAGCATCTATAGCTAGTGTAGAGTAATTCAAGTTTTCATATGTGATGTTCGCGATGCCAAGAAAAAGTGGCACACTCGGTGGGGTGGCACTCTCGGTGGTGGAATACGTTAGTAGTAATTCTAATAATTAACTTAGTATATTGCAATAGTTTATTAACTATAATAAAAAACTATAATAACGTGTTAATGTAGATGTAGTAATAGGGCGTTAGCGACTCGCTTAGGTTAGCAACTTACTTGTGAACCACGTTAGATAAAATAGCTAGTATTACTACTTATTATATTAGCTTTTTTTTATAAAGTATTTTATAAGTAAAAAATTTGAATATTAATACTACTAACAACTTAAATATAAAATAAAAGAGTAAAAGCTTAATAGTAGTAACAAGTGGTATTATATTTTAAAATAAATTTTTAGTCTTTTTTTTATATTAGCTTTAGTCTTATATACTATAAGCTAGCTAAGGAGCTCTTAACTAAGCCTCCTCTTGTGGCTAGGAATGTGGTTCCTAACCATAACCTAACTCTACCCTATACCTATAATAGGAACCCTATACCCACTCGCTAGTCTAGTAATAGCTAAGACCGCGACCCTTTTCAGCATCGCTACAAGCTCTAGCAATATTGGTATTATGTACTATAACATATAAGCCCGATGCCAAGCTGCATTTAGCGCGATTTAAAGCCTAACCTTCCCCTTATATCAGTTAAAGCCTGTTTCTATACATTACCAACTGGTGGTTGCGCAATCAGCTCAGCTTACTTTACCGTAAGCTGACAGCCCTTTCAAATGACATTCTATCATTTGGTATACAGATTCGTCTTTACCAGTAACATGTCAATCTGCTTTATAGGTGATTTTAACCTACTAACGCAGCGGCATTCACAACACAGTAGAGTATGTCGTAATATTCAACTTGGTTCCTAACAACTTTTCTAAAGGATTGTGTTCGTACATGCCCTGAGTGTTACATAAATCATGCTCAGCTATTCTGATTCTACCCTGCACTAAGGTAGATTAGTCTTGAGCTAGTAATTGTCTGGGCTATCTATACGAGTCAATCTCATCTCCATTTCTCTGCTAGGCTTAATTTATCGGTCCGGATCATCATTGTAGGCAAGTCTTCCATGAGGGGGACATGTAGACAAGTGTGTATAAATACTTCTATATCTTAATGCACCTGATGCGACAGACTACAAAGCCCTATCCCTTCGGAGCCAAAATCCATCCAAATATCATACATCAACATTACATCATTTACTCTTACCCTCTCTCAGTAAGTTAGTAGAGTCTGAGGCCTACAATAGTCATGTCTCTAACATGTATCCCAGAAATGCAATTCAGTTCTAGAGCGGCTTGCCTTGCAAGCTTGATAAGCATTTTTGCTACATCCATCAACGCTGATTGCACACAAGTTTCGGGTAATCCCGGGAATCTACCGATGGGTTGCACTACCAATGCTGCACCGACGCAGCAAGGTCAAACCGTCTTGTCCAATGGCGACGCTTTATCAGTCACGCTTCAGAGTGTACCCAACCAAGGTAAATGGGTTTATGCTATAAGCAACCGTCAGAACTATGACATCAATTGGGGGATGCAGTTTTACAATCCTCAACAAGGCTCAAATGCATGGGCGATATACACTATCAAGCAGGGTAGTGATTGTACTATTACAGCTAATGGGCATATGGAGATGTTCAAGCTTACTTGTTAAGCATTGTTCTCAGCGTCCTGTTAGGACATAAGCCTGGCTGCCCTTCAGGTATCCCTGGCTGGTGGGCTCACTGCTCTCCTGTCCGCTCGCTGCCGTCCTCTGCCGAGCTTCTGGCTCCTCTGGGTAGATTTACCTTCCGCTATCTGTAAGATACATGTATAGAGATCAGCTATAGATAGTTTAATGTATGGTATTTATCAATCACTTCTCACCTGACTGGTTACGACTTGTTGCTCTCTATCCCTGCCTGCGCCTATAAACTATACGTGTTTATCCTAGTCCCTATTTTTCAACTTCTTACAACCTTTCTTTTCTTTTTGTACTCTGAAAATAAGCCAAACAGGTGTAAGGCATCTAGAACTATCTTCTGACAGACGCAAGATTGTATTTTGTATCAATTTTAGGCTACACAAAAATGTAGTTGTGGAGATAGTTTTCTGGTGTTACATATTAGAGATGCGACTAAAAGAGATGAATGCCTCTCAGTCTCTATCCAACCCACAGGCAACCATGGCTTGAGCACTTATACTGGGCAGTGCGAGGCCAAAAGAGGCCAAAATGAGACACTGAAGCAATCGAGACTGGAGACTTGGGAATGCTTGAAACAGTGTCACCAGCCACCCAGTTACAACCACCCGGTTACAGCCACCCGGTTGCATGTTGTAAGGCTCCAATAGAAACTGTGATGAGATGACTTCCACTTGTTGGCTGGCCTAGACGTCTGTCCAGCTTCTTTTCACAATCTGCCCATGTGAAAACCTCGGTGTAGAGTATTTCCCCGAAGCACTCGCCACACCGCACATGCGAAACAATAACAAGGCACTGCATAATGCAGAGGGGGTGACATGTTGGATAGATAATGCGTAAAGAGTCGCGCCCGACTCGGAAGACGGATGTGGGGTCCAGCAACCGCCCGTAGCGCTGCGTCATTGCTCTCCAACATGTCAAGCACGACAAGCTCCCGCCAACGCACACCTGCGACCCCAAACCCCCTCCACCACCACAACCACCAGCCACAGTTCCCGCCGGATCATGGCCTCCAAGATCGAAAAGACGCTCGCGCGACAACGCGAAAAGTACCGCCCTCCAAACCCTTGTGAAACACGAGGCAAGCTGACCCCACCACCCGCGCAGGATCGCAGAGGGCCAGTACTACGAAGCCCACCAGCAACTCCGCGTAATCGCATCGCGCTACACAAAAGCCAGCGACTGGACAAACGCAATCTCGATCCTGCACCAGGGCGCACAATCGCTACTACAGGCCGGCCAAGGGGGCTCGGGCGGCGATCTCTGCATCTTCCTGCTTGACGTGTACAACAAGGGCGAGGTCAAAGTAGATGGCGAGAGCAAAGGACGATTACTAGCGCTCCTGCGGGCGTTCCCCAAGGACGAGCCGACAAAGAAGAAGTTTGTGGGCGAGATGGTGGCGTGGAGTTCGCGGTTTGGCGACTTTCCCGCCGGCGATCCAGAGATACATCATGTAGCCGGGGGACTGTATGCCGAAGGTGAGTTGTATTCTTTTCTTTTTGCCTTTGTAATAAGTACAGCTGTCTGTAATATCCCAACAAGCAAGCGAGAAAAGAAAAGAAGGTGAAAAAAAAGAGAAAAAGAGGAGACAGCAGGCTAATGCGGAAATGATACCATAGAGCTGGAACCCTACGACGCAGAACGCCATCTCCTCCTCGGCACCCAAGACAGCGCCGCAACCCTCGCCTCCCTCCACTACTCATGGTACACGTCGGACGAACCGCACACGGCCGCCCTCTACTGCGCCCGCGGCGTCCTGCCGTACCTCCTTACGGGCAACCTCCGAGCCGCGAACAAGTACTTCCTGCTCTTCACATCGGCGCTCGAGAAAGTCCCAAACCCACCCACACAAGCCGTGTCGACAAAATCCACCGAGTTCCGCGTATACCCGTCACTGCCGCTGCTCAACTTCCTCGGCCTGCTGCTGCTGAGCGTCGAGAGGGGAGACCCGAGTTTGTGGCGCCAGCTCAAGAGCCACTATGCGAGCGACCTCAAGGACGTCAACTGGGGCGAGGCGCTGGACCAGATTGGCGAAATGTACTTTGGCATCAAGATCCCGCGACAGGGCAACCCCATGTTTGACATGCTCGGGAGCATGTTTGGCGGCGGCATGGGAGGCGCGAAATAGGCGGTTGGAGGCAGAGCGCCGCCAACGGCAGGGCTGGACTGAGCAGAGGCAGGGCAGCAGGCAACGTGAAAAGGGCAGAACGCATTACGATGCTACGGCACCAGAGATACCACTGTATACCCATACAATACAAGCAAGACTTCATCAATCATTCATTGTTCGTGTAGTTGTTGTTCGTTACGCTTTTGTCTATCTGGTCATGTCGATATGACACGCATTCAATCCTATTCTCTAGCACGCCGATCCTCCATGTTACATGGGGATGGTCTTCTCCTTGAAGTAGACGCCGTACTGGTCCTCCAATGTCTTCATCAGCGGCTTGCAGATCTCTGGTGTCATAGGCGCCAGGATACCCTTCTCGCTGAGGGTGCCGTCGAGCACCTGCTGGACAGCGACGGCGCAGGGCACACCGACCAACTTGGCCATGGCCGAGTAGCCCTTGGGGTCACCGTAGTCGACAAGCGTGCAGGTACGCACCGCCTTGCTGCCGTCCTTGTTCTCGATTTCGAACCTGTGCTGCAGCATGACCATGTCGCGCTCGCCCTCCTCGTACTGCATCTTCTTCTCGAGCGTGGCGCACAGCGTGTCGAGCGGGTTGCCGCGGGGAATAATTTCCTCGTCCGAGATGACGCCAATCCAGCGGAGACCCGAGATGATGCGGTCCTTGTCTTCTGTGCTAGCAAACTTTGTCTGCGACGAAATGGCCCAGATGAGGTCCTCGTCTTTGCTGCTTTGCGCGCCGATAATCTGCGCAGTCGCGTCGCGCCAGGTGCGCTTCTCGCCCTCCTTGAGGAAGTCCTTGGGCTCTTCCGACAGGAAACCAATGTCGACGAGGCACTTGATGTACTCTGGGAAACCCTGGTACCGCAGCGTACCGCGGATGATGGTCTGTGCCTCTGGGATGCTGTAGCGCTCCTTGTAGGGTGTGGAGTCGCGGTTGGGGTATGCGACAAAGGCGTAGCCCGGGTAGATGAAGTATGGCTTGGCCTCGGCCATGAGCTCTGGGCCTTCAATCGACTTGACCTCGCCGTCCTGGTAGAAGGCAGCCTGGTTTCTCAACGCAAGCAGGACACCTCTGGAGCTCCAGGAGAACTTGTAGCCGAGCGGGTTGTCTGAGGCCTCGGGGGCGGGGAGACCACCGCAGTATGACTTGAAGGACAGGATCTTGCCACCAGCCTTGTGGACCTCGTCAATGGTGAGGACGGCCGAAAGATGGTCGACACCGGGGTCTACGCCGATCTCGTTCATGACGGTGATGCCAGCCTCCTTTGCTTGGGCGTCGAGCTCCATCATGGCGGGCGAGACGTAGGATGTTGTGACGACATTCTTCTTCTTGCGGATCGCCGACTTGATAACGGTGGCGTGGAATGTGTAGGGAATGAGGGAGATGACTACGTCGACCTTGGCGACTTCGGCGTCGAGCGTATCGGCGTTGTTTACGTCGAGCTGGCCAGTGTTAGCAGTCGAGTTGGGAAAAGGAGCATTGAGTGCCATACGCTGATAGCGTGGGTGTTGGGGATGCCCTTGGCCAGGCTCTGCGCCTTCTCCAGGGTACGGCATGCGACTGTGACTTTGACGCCAGACTTTGCGAGGACCTCTACGGTTGGTCGCGTGCTGTGTATGTGTTAGCCAGTGCGGTTCCAGTCACGCTTCTATGTCTTACACAAAACCAGCACCGAGCAACAGGGCAGTCCTGCGGCGTTGTCAGTCAATTTGTACCCCCGATAACGTCTTTGCGCAACATACTTTCCGCTGTACGGCCCGCTGGCGGTGCCCATGACGGTCTGAAGTTTGTCTGCAAAAGTCATTAGCATTGCATCAATGGCTCCGTCACTGAGCGCTTACTGGTAATGGCCTCCATGGTGTGTGGTTTGAGTGCGGTTGCCAAGTGAGCGAAAAAAGTTTGGGCAAAGTTATATCCTGCGCGTTGACTCCGGATCGGAGTACTATGAAATTGGCGGGGTTACTCCGTCATCGCTCCAGAAAGCGGGGCGCTCGTCGCACGTCAAACTGCTGCTGCTAGACATTGTTGAATGTATTAAACCGAAAAAAGCTCCGAAGCTGACAGAATTTGATCCGCCTAGTGGCTCACATAAGACATGTCTGAATCTGTTACCATTTGTGTTGTCATGGGTCTGAACTTGCATACTTGCATGTTGCACAGCAGCTATCATCCAGGGCCTGTCTCATCGCCAACTCGACACAATTGCGATTATGACTATCATTATGGGGATTATTTTTAGACTCGACCGTATGAAAATAATACAGAAGCGCGGGGCTAAGCCCAGCATCTCCCGTGCTACGCCTCGCCCTGTGAGCTTGAATCCCTCTCGAGCATGCAATTCTCTCCATCTTCATGGGGAAAGTGGGCCTGACCTTCGCCAAGTGGGCTAGGCCGCATTGGCGCTAGCGCTGCATCAGGCGGATCGCGGACTTGCCAGGTACGCGTTTCATGCACGCAGACAAGCGACGACAACATACATCAGCCTCACGCAAGATTAAAGGTATCCTTCACAGTCGTGGCTCACTATCTAGCTACCAGACCTCCCATCAGCGACACAAGCCGTTCCAGTTTCTAGGCCGCCACCATGCCATCGGCTATTGACCCTGACGATGACCTGTGGGCAGCTATCAAACAAGTAAAGAATGACCATGCGGATTGTAGGTGCACGAGCTATGCTAATGAATGTAGATATCCCAGTCATCCGTGGGCTCGGATTACATTGATCAGCTGATTCCCATCATGAAGGACCCACGCTACTCAAACCAACTACAAGTCACATTCGATCGATATGCCAATGATCGCGAGAGTGAGATTGAGCGGATATGTAATGCAAATCACCAGGACTTTGTTAGCTCTGTCGACTCGCTGCTGAGGATCCGCGACCAGACTGTGCAAATGAGTGGTGAAATCCTACAGCTCAACGAGTCTATTCAGGAGAGTATCGAGAAGCTAGCCGAGCACAAGAAGGCGCTGGTAGACTCAAGAGGTGTGCGACAGAACATCAACGAAGCCATCCAAGCGCTTAACGCGTGTCTGAACGTGCTGCGCATCGCCAACCAGGTCCAGGACCTGCTAAAAGAGAAGAACTACTATGCGGCCTTGAGGGCACTAGATGAGCTGCAAACAATACACTTGAAGGAGATCAGCCGCTTCAAAATCGCCAATTTGATCGAAAAGTCGATTCCCCAAACCCAAGAGCAGATCAGAGAAGCAGTCAAAAATGACTTGAGCACATGGCTGTTTCGCATCCGCGAGTCGGCACAGTTTCTGGGCGAGGTGTCATTTTTCTACACCGAGCAGCGAAGAAAGCGAAACCAGTGGCGCGCCGAGACAGATTCGCGCTTTTCAAAGTTCAAGCTAAACTCGGCCATTGAACTTGTCGCCGACGAGACGGATGAGTTTGATGTGCTGAACAACGAAGAAGCCGGCAATGAGACTGACTTTTCTCCTTTGTTCGAGGCAATGCACATCAACGAGACATTGGGCAAGAGCGAGCAATTCAGAGCAGAGTATGCGTCAGATCGGCGGACGCAGAAAGATCTAATCATTCCAAATAAGCTTGACCTGCTTGACGAAGAATGCAGCGACTTGAGCAGCTTACTGGAGAGTATCGCAGGGTATGCCATTATTGAAAAAGCAACCATGACAATAACTACCAATCTGCGATCACAGACTGATGTAAGTGGAGTATTGCATCTGCTGTTGGCCGTGGCTCATGCGAGAATAGGTTGACGAACTGTGGGATTCCATGTGTCAAAGTGCAATCAAGCTCATTACAGGAGAGCTTCATACTGTTGATAATGATGAATTGTTGCTCAAAATAAAAGGCCGGATCGCGCTTTTCATGCTCACTATGGAGGTTCGTATGTCAGACCCCAACGATTGAGCCATACTAACCCTTACATTAAGAAATGGGGTTACTCCGTGTCCGCGATGAACGACCTACTTCTTACCCTCTTCTCCAAATACTCTGCTCTCCTCAAGCAGCGATTCAGCGACGATTTCCTGGAGATTGTTCACACGGACGATTACATGCCCATGCCCATCAATTCACGGGAAGAGTACGACAAGGTCGTCTCCGTGTCGTGGTATAGCCCGCAGAGCAACAGTGAGCAAATCACATTCCCATGTGTTTTGCCATTCTCACAGATGTACCCTCTTTGCTGCATTGATATCAGAAACTTCCTCAACCAGATATACCTCTTCAGTGACGACTATTTCCAGAAGAGCAGTGTCATTGATGAAACGCTTCGCACAAGCCTTGACGAGCTCTTGTGCGAGAAGGTCTGTGAAAGCCTTGTCGAGCGCCTGAGCAGCCAATACCCTGGACAAATTGTGCAAATTCTCACCAACCTCGAGCACTTTGAAAACGCATGCGTAGAACTCCAGGATCTACTTTTTGAAGCCCGCTCTTCGCCTTCTGCGACAGGTCCCATTGTCCTTACTGCGACAGAGCGCTTTGCAAAAGCCAAAAACACCGCTTCGAACCGTGTCTTTGAGCTTGTCAACAGCAAGATTGACGATTTGATCGAGACGGCGGAATACGACTGGATGGCCACAAAACCACAGACGGAACCTTCGACCTACATGCTCGAGCTGACTAGGTACCTCTCGAACATCATGTCCTCGGTGCTCCTCGCCTTACCCATGGACATTAAAGAGTTCATCTACTTCGACGCTCTATCGCACGCCTCAGCCGCCATCCTGGATCTGCCCCTGGCGCAGAACATCAAGCGCATCTCTCCCGCTGCCGTTGCAACCTTGGCCGCTGACACAGCCTTTTTATCGCAATTCGTCAGCTCGCTCAACAATCCCATTCTCATGGAAAACCTGGACGAGCTGACGCAGACGGTGGCGCTCATGGGCACGGATAACTCTGAAGAGTTCTTCGACATTGCGCAGAGGAACAAGAAGTATAGCAAGGTGGATCAGATGAAGGGTGCCATTTTGCTCGAGAAGGTGCAGGAGGGTGCTCAAGTTGCGGCCCAGAGCCCCAAAGTAGAGGGTAAGGACCGATTTGGCACTTTGGGATCGAGATTTGGAATTCGGTAGGCTGCAGAGTAGTGTCGTGAGGATGCAATGGGAGATTGATTGCTTGCGGTCTTGATATATAGCGTTGCGCATAATCTAAGAGTCTATTATTTGTGGAAAAAAAAATAAAAGATAAAACATTGACGATACGCTGCTAGACTTGCGCATAAACCACACGATATTGCGCAAGCATCATTCCGCGATTCCGAGGCCACTAGATCAACAACACATCGACAGGAGACTTCCTCTGACAATCTCGACACCCACACCAACACCAACGAGTTACCGCTGCGTACTCGCCGCTTCTTCGTGCCCCAGTCTTTGGATCCCATCATAAGAGAAGGAAATCAAAAGACGAGAAAGAAAAAAATGGCCATCGCACCACCCAATCGCACAACAACAACAACAAGCCAGCACTTTCTCACCGTCCCCACCTCCACCCACCTCTCCCCCACCACACCCAGCATCACCTCCTCGCCGCTCTTCAGCGCACCCACCCACGACATCGCCATGCTCCACGATATCCACACGCTGCTTGACCGCATCTTCGTCCGCAATAGGAACCAGCACCGCCGCAGCACGTGGTGGAAAGCGCTGCATGGCTTCCGCAAGCAGATGGCGCTGCTGCTTGCAGATCTGCAGGACAAACAAGTCCGCGAGGTGGAGCGCAGGCGGAAAGTCGAGGCGCGGCTAAGGGCTTGGGACGCAAAGGGTGAGGTGCATGCATGGTATTTGTACGTTCTATTTTCTCCTCCTCTTTTCTCCCCCTCTTTTCGTTTCTTGTCTTACCCCCCTGCTTCTTTTTTTTTGCCTCTAACCCTCCATTTTGTAACCCCCACAAAGAATCACACTAACATTTTTTTTACAGCCAATTCAGTCAGTTAGTGGCCGTGGGCCCGTTCTCCATGCTGGGCCTTGTGCTCGTCGCGTCCGTCGCGCGCGTCTGCCGCATCACGGGTATCACGGCCGTGTACGAGCAGATTGCGTCGGCCGAAGTCAAGAGCGTGCTCGACGCAAGTAACGAGCTGGCGCTGGCCGGCAAGTATGGCGCTGTGCTCGGGGAAGCCGAGGGATGCGATGAAGGCGTTGTTATTGCGCGGGAAAACGAAGACGAGTGATATCCCCATTCCAGGCATTTGCAAAAAAAAAAGTCTTTTCTCTCTACTGATCTTTCTTTTCTCGAATTTTTTTTGTTTGGAACTTTTTCTCACGGAAACGGGGGGGGGGGGCAGGATGAGTATGATACCAAGAAGCTAGACGTGCGGGACTTTCAAACGGCGTTTCCTCTGTATCTTATTTCTTTCCCCAGTGGTAAGATGCTGGTGTTCCTGCTATTTCACGCTCCAACCCTTGCACTAACTTTTTTTTTCTTTTACACTTGGTCGCCGCCAAAAAGAAAGAAGAAGGAAAAAAATCTGCGCAGCCCACGCGAGATAGGCTAGACTGGGCAATTGACGGAGAATTGAAAATGACCCTGGTGGTAACTTGCAGTCTCCCAGAAACGAAGAAGAAAAGGAAATATTACAGCGGACTCTATTTTGGACGTCGCCTTTTTCGAGGGCGGCGGCTGTGGAGACACGGGAATAATACGTAGCGCGTGTTGTTCCCCAATCGCGATATCAAGTGACGAAAGGTTCGTGTGGGCAATCCGCCTAGCTCGATCTGGACGTTAACCACGTGCGTCCCCGCGTGTGAAAAGCTGGACTAGAAGGCAGACTCAAAATGCGGAATATGGAGATGGATCGTCTCTCGAGTCGTCTTCGCATCCAACTTCATATCTTCCTCGTAAATGAGGGTCAATTTGGCCGTCGAGCGGTGAAAAAAAAGGGCCGGCCCCATGAATATCAGTGCTAACCCCCTTCTTGCTCGTACGTCTGATGGTGCTCACCATAAGGAGCGGCTCAGGGGTCGCTGCAGGTACTACGGTTGCCAGTATCCTACAGTGCCGTGCAAATTTCTTGCCAGTGGTGCGCCTGACAGAGAGGCTGCTTGTTGGTTGGACGTCTGGCATGAGGGAAAAGTCGCGCAGGTGATCAGATGCAGAGTAATGGGGATGTGCAGCTTGTGCCTCATGTGAGGAGCTAGACGTAGCCATGGAGATTTTCCGAAAGTGCCAATGCATCTCTCAGTCGTGGTGGTCCGGTGCGTATTATAGCTCTCGTCCTGTCTGATTTGGGGGTACAGGACGGAGACTTGGACTCGAGGGTGGTGCTGTCAATCTCTCCATCTGCTGCCTCGGGCTCGAGTGCTACTCTGTTGCCTCATCTTCTGCGATCGACCTCGGGTTTCTGTGTGAGGTCTGCTAGGGACACTATAGCCTGTTGAAGTTGTTGGAGTTGGGATAGGGGTCAAGGTGGCTCACGGACCCCCTGTGTTGGTGCGATGTCCAAGCTCGAGATTTTCGACTCTAAGTAGGGCGGACGCTTCCGTCCACAAGCCTCACTCGAAGATATTACGATCACCGCTTCGACATGTTTAGCTGGAGTCCATTCAACTTGCATACTGAGATTGCGCCCAGAGCAGAGAGAGGGAATAGGTTGCCGGAAAATCCAGCTTCCGATACTTACCTCTTGTGTAGATTGTCAAGGCGTTCCAGGACCCAACTCCGTAAGCCACCACTTTCGTGCCGTGACATCGCTCACATGGACGGTAATTGCAGTACCATGGAAACTCTGGGTGTTGTGCGCACCTGCAAGAAGCTCTGGATATCGCAACCACAAAGTCATGGTCGCCATTAATGCCAAACACGACGGCATGTCAACGTGCAGAGGCGGGCCTTTGAATCACGTGCTATACAATCTACGTTAGAGCAGACTGGCATTTCAAAGAGTCAACTGGAATGTTTCAGACGTAGCGTGCTCCCGCAACTGCACACTGCAGCACGCTAGAAGTTTGATACTTCCAGATCCAAAACGCGATCATCATATCTTACCGCAGAGCATATCGCTGACGGCACGGCAGTGAACGACGAGTACATGCAGAGACGTCGCTCGGCCATATATATGTATCTGATTGGGAAGATGGGAACCACTTTGGCCTTCAAGCTTGTAAAGAGAAGGAATTGCAAGCAAACTGGGCCAGCAACTAGACTAACATCGACCCTTTTCTTCGGCTTACAACCCACCAAATGCATCTGGCACGAGAATCCAGGTTACGTACTAGCAAAGGAGAGTCATGGCATTCCCAAAGCCAACATGACTTGAACCCAGAAACACATTCCCAATCCGCCGTAAAGCCCATACCTTCTCTTCACCGCTTGTCACACAACACACACCCAGCCATACTTTGTACCTGTCCAAGACCAGACGCTCACCGAATAGCGTCTACCAAGGCGTGAATAGTCTCCCCTCTTCACAAACAAGCCACCTGCAGCGGTCCCCCGGGCTACGCCATGGCATCCGGACGCACGCACACCATGCAACTGCATGGCGCCTAGAATACCCTGCGTCACCCCACGGGATCCCCGACTCAGCGACGTCTCAAAAACACCCATCACATGTAAGTGGTGTGCAGCCCAGCCTCATGATGCACGACCAGGGCCCCAGGACGCTGAAACCCCCACGTCGGCGGCGCAAAAAAACACCAAGACCTACTACGGTGCCATCTCGACTCGTTCCCACCCACCCCGACCCCCCGGCCCTCACGTCTCATGATGAACCAGGGCCCGGCGGCTGTTGCACCCGCGGATTCAAGCGCACATCCCCCGCGCTCCCTGCCGCCTCCGCCTTGTTCGCATCATTACTAGATCCACAGCCTACGTACATACAGGGCAAGGAACATGGTGCAAGCGGAACTCGCGGCTGCTCAACCCGCGACGGCGGCAAGCGGCGATATCGCTCCGACGCAGCCTGCCAGCTAGGGAAGTAGGTAACAAAGTATCCCTCCCCCTCGCACGCTCTGACTCGGGGCGGCGACTAGGACCAGGACCAGGACCAGGAATGTTATGTACATGTGTGCGTATGTATGCGCGTATATGTACATGTGCGTGTTGCGACGGAGGACGAAAGCCCAGACCGGGGGGTTGTTTTCTTAGGCGTAGACTAATATGCAGCGGCGTGTAGTACTAGTCGATGTGGGTGGAGTAAGTGGGCAGCCACATAGCTATAGCCCATGACGACAGTAGTTGTAGGAGAAGACTCCGATTGCACACCAGGATAGTAGTTTTTCTCTCCCTCTCTCTGTCGGTCTGTCTGTCTGTCTGTCTGTCTGTCTCCGTCTCATGGCCGTGCCTAGCTAGACTGCACAGTGCTAGTCTGGTCTAGCCAAAACACGCCCTTTGTTCCCGCACGCCCCGGATTTTGAACCTCGCTCTCCTAGCTCCATTCAAACTAAACCACCTACGCAAGTCCCGTAGCAGAAAGAAGGGAAACCAAAACAAATTAACCCCCCCGGCCGACTCAATCCTTCCAAGTCTTTCACAAGCTAGGGGGCTATGTGACTTGGAGCAGCATACGAGGACCCGCCGCCACCGCTAATACCGCCACAGCCACACCAAGCGAGTACGAGGAAGACTAACGACTGCTAACTCCAACAAAACTGGAGTCCCGTGCTTTTCTTTTTCTTTTTTCCGTTTCCGTCATGGTATCGGATGCAGGGAATGCGGTGTGTGTGTGTGTGTGTGTGTGAAAGTAACTACGACTGTGATGTGGCATGTGCATTTCCCTAGACTGGCGCTCGTACATGACTCGTGTGATGCGTGCGTGCAGCAATACTAGTGGCGTCGTCGTCGTGTTCTTCACATTGGGGCTACACCTCAAGTCAGGTCAAGTAACACTACTTACTCAGGTGGAGTCTTGAACCTGGAGGGAAAGTGCACATGCGTCCTGTTTGGTAGCAGCTTCGTAGCTTCACTGCTTGATTCGCTAGTGTAGAATCCGACGAGGCTATGAACTAGGGTACTTGGGTATTGGAGTCTAGCAGAGCAAATGGACATGTAGTTTTAGAAAGGGGAAAGGAGGGAAGAAGGTATTCTGCTTTGTTCATCTCCATTTTCTGGGGGAGCGAGACAAAATTCATTCTGTTTATTCATTTGCAATGGGTTTTGTCGGCGAGAAAAGGAAAGATAGTTGGACTTTGGTGGTGGAGATGGGAATGCGAATGCGTCTGTCTTTGTGAAGCGTGAATAAGTGATGGGCTTGTCTGTTGTCACTGGCTGAGCGGGATAGCCTCTCATGTTGTTGTGTTGTATGTGCTGTAAAGAGTAATATGTTGCTCAAGTATAAGAGTCAATAAAGAACACAAGTTCTGCGCAATAAATACACGCATACTGTACAGTCTACCAGCCCCAATTCATTTGACGACTGTAAAGAAGACGCCAATTCAAAAGCGTCAAATCCAGTCTATGAATACTTAGACTTCACCAGCACAGCACAAATGGAGTGCTGAACTTTGCATGATACAATGTTAATAAGGTGATCTCACAAAAGAAGGTAGTCACCAACTCAAGAAAACATGATTTGACGAGCACTGATAGTTTATTGAAGAAACTGTACTACAGTACTTGACCTCAAGGCCCTCCAGTAGAATCCATCACCTGGTCAGAAATCATCTCAACCCGCAATCATCCACACTATTAATCCAGATCATACTGGCTCCATACAGAAGACATACACTCCATATTAGTCCAGCACCATACCGAAGTCATTCAGCAATGCCCGGATTGACAACATCGGAAATCAAATCGAACAAACACCGAAATGGCGTACTCGACGCACAAAGTCTCTAGATGTGGTAGAAGTTGCAACAGTGCCAGAGAGATGCATGTAAGCAAGCACCAGTCGATGTTGATGCTTACAAGAAAGGGTTGGCATTGGCATCAGGATAGCCACGAGCCGAGAAGGGAGGCATCGGACCACGGGGGATACGAGAAGCACGAGTTGGAGTGCCTTCGGAAATTGTCGAAGTGATGCCGTTGGGGAAAGTACTGCTAGCGGGAGCACCGATGACACCTGGAACCGGAGCGGGAGATGGATTCTCGTTGAAGTACTGAGTGACATGGGTCATGGGGATGCAGTCAAAGGGGATACGACCACAGTGACCACCACCATAGGTGCACAGGTACCAAGTCTCGATGTCTTGCTTCTTGGCCTCGCTCAAGCCGGCAAACTGAACGGGAGCAGCGCGCTGATGAGCAAAGTGCATGGCAGCCTGCATGATGTCGCGGGGGCCGCCACGGTCGTATGCGCTGGAACGGTTGCGGTGCTCGGTCAGAGGAGCGTATCCGTTGGGGGGATAGAGACCGATGCTACGGGCGCTGTCCATCGAACGCTGAAGCTTGGAAAGATTGTCGGGGCGAGGGAAGGCCTGCTCGGTACCGGCAGTGCGCAGCTGACCCATCATCTCAGCGTCGGCGATGGTGAAGATCAGGCGAGGGCGACAGTAAGGAGTCTCCTGCATGACAGACGAGTTGCGGAACTTCTGGACAAGTGCCTCGCGGCCCTGGATGGTGGCGTAGGAGATCTCGGCGGTCTTCTCGGAGTTGAAACCGGGCCAGAGTCGACGCTCGATGCGGTCAATGAGCGACAGCATGCCGTTGGCATCGGTGAAGTTGATGAAGGCGTAACCAACGTTGCAGCCAGACTTGAAGTCAATGCGAAGGTACATGAAGTCGTATGTGCCGAAGCAGACGTCATCGAGGATGTTCTTCAGGGCCATCTGATGAATGTCAGATGTTGATCAGACAGCCTTGTAACAAGATACGTACCCAATCGAGCTTGTTGGGGATGTTGCGAAGCATGACTGTAGTGCGAACATCGCTGCCATCGAGAATGCGCTCACGGCGGACACGGTTGTGCTGGTCGTGTGGGTGGTTGTGGTAGCTAGAACGACGGTCCGAGTGCTGGTCAGGAATGTGATGGTGGGGAGCGAAGCGATAGCCGTAGATGCGACCATGGGCATCGACGTGGGGCTTGTAGCGATGCGGTGAGGCCTTTCCATGCTCGCCAGTCCAAAGGGCAGGCTCGAGCGTGCACCACTGGAACGACTTCTACAACAGGTTAGCAGGGCTGCGCATGAACATGTCAAAAGAAACTCGCCTCGTTGTTGACGCCCCAGACCGGATCAATGCGGAGAGACTGGACAGCGCGGATGGCAGCGTCGATGGAGAAGAACTCGATGCGGTATACAAGAAGCATCTTGTCGTCAAGGGAGTCGATGTGGGTGACGTTGCGGACTTCGCCAAAGGCCTGGGCAGTGATCTTGACAGCGTTGGAGATGCCAGCCAGGTCGTCGGACGAGAACTCCCAGACGGCTTGATCGGGATTGGGATCAATCATGATAGACAGCTTGATCTGACCCTCGTACTCCTTGATGTTGGCAGTGTCCTGGGCCTTGGCCTTGGCGTAGTCGTAGGAAGTGACGTAGTCGACAGTGAACTCGTGCTGCTCAAGGATGTCCTTGCCCTCGGCAGCATCGCGCAGATCATCGTAGCGAATAAAGACACCGCGAGCGTAATACGGCACTGCATTGAGGAAGCAGGCATACTGCAGCAAGTCAGAGAAGTACATGTAAAATAATGAGGAGTTGGTTACCAGCTTCATCTGGTGCTGGACACTGAAGAGTTCATGCTCAGCGTCAAGACCAGCATTAGTTCCATCGGGCAGTTGAGAGATGAACTGATAGCGAGAAACATAGCCGTGAGCGTCTTCGGGCAGCTCGTTGATGAAGCCGCCCTCGACGTAAGTGGCAGGACGGGGAAGGATGGTCTTCATGCTTGCTGTCTTGTCGTTAGCCTCCTTCACGACCTGCTTTCCAGTCGCAATGGCGGTGATCTGTCGACGATGGGCGAGGCGAGGTTTGCGGTCGAGGTCAGGCGAGTAGAGGGTTGGATCCGTGCCGGCGAATGGGCTTGACGAAGGGCCGTGGGCGGACGACGACTGGGGAGAGGTATGAGACATGATGGCGGGTGTGGGCAAGATGTACAAGATGATGTACAAGGCGAAGAGATGTGCTCAAGACAAGACTTGGATGGTTTGCAACGCTCAAGCAAAGAGTCGAGGTGGTGTGTCTGTCGAGTGGGGGGGGGGAGAGCCAAGGGCGGAAGGAGCGAAGGGGCAGTTTATAAACCCCATGGCGGCGCCAGCGCGGCGGCAGTCAGGTGACGAGCTACTGCATGAAGCGGCAGAATTGAGGCTGGAGATGCTCATTGTGAGGGTGAGGATGCCTTGGAAGCCGGTGGAAGCTGGTGGTGAAGTGATGCGGCGCCAAGGATGAATGTATGGGATGCGCAGAGCAACGCGTTTATTCCACCCGCAACCGCTGATAATGAGCTATGAGCAGTATCGGGAGCAAGATGTGGTGCTCATCTATCACCACAGTCGCGTCTGTATATGGGTTTTTTCTAAAATTGGAGCTGCAGCGTGGTTGCAGGGCGCGTGGTGAGCATGGAGTTGCATCCTCACCACATCCTCACCTCTCGTGGAGCCCCACTCGCCACCCTCTAGCGCCATGCGAATCGTCTGACCGCCCGCCCGACGGGAAGGAGCGACGGGAGAGGCAGGAGCAGCCACTGAGTGAGTGATGATGCGAGTCTGGAGCTGGCATTGGCTTTTTCAAGAGCCTTCACAGAGTGCAGTGAAAACACACTATTGGCATCAGGCATTTGTCTGTCATGTATTCAATAGACAGGAACGAGAGTTTGTCAACAATTTGAGCATTTCCTATCACAAGTGCAGCAAAACCATCTTCATCCGTCCAGACACTTCTGCGTCAAACACACCCTGGGTATCACAATGTCAAACCGACGCCATGCATACAACTCACTTTTTGCCCTCGCCATCTCCCTCAAACATCCATCGATCGTCTTCCAAACTCGCTACTTTCCTTCTCAGACTGCTCTGGAGCGCAATCCTAATCTCCTCCTCAAGCTCTGCCGCATCCCAGTGCCCATTCGGCTTTCCGTACATTTCAATCACCTCGTTCTCTTGCTCTGCCCATTGTCAGTAATGCACTTCATCCCATGCGCCGCCGCCGCTTACCAGCCTCTTCGTCGCCCTCTTGGCCCAGACTCACTGTCCCCATATTCTTGTATACGGGAACGGGCGCATGGGTAACGTAGTCGCCCTGAACATCCTTCTCCACTAGCTCGTCCTCCAAAGGTTGCATAAAGATATCTGGCTGTATCTCCCGGCTATCGGGGCGCACAGAGGGGGCGTTATGATTGGGGCGCCGTGACGTCGGCTGTTGCTGCTGGGCCGTGTGGCTGGGAAAGAGGTTGCGGCGGGTGTTGGGCGGGAGGCGGATGGCGCGCTTGTCCATCTCTGCCGGGTCTTGGGTGTATGAGAGAGGTTGTGAGGGCGGCGGGTGTAGGTGTGCGGTAGTGTTGTGATGCGTGATGTTGGTCATGTTTGGTGTCTGGAAAAGACGGCATCAACGGCGCGCCGTAGCTAGTCAGGTAAGTACCGCAGCCGCGGCTGGCGGGGCATGGATCCATCACTTAACAGCCCAAATATACCATGCCCCAACGACACACCTTCCTCCTCCCCCGAAATGTCTTCCACCCTTCCGCCCCGCCCTCCGAGCCCTATCGCAGACTCAGAGGATAAATCCTCGCCCCGTAAGCGGCCCAGAACTCGGGCGCCTCCCCAAGCAGCAGCGACAGCCTCGACCGCCAAAAGCACAGAAGCACCCTCCACTCCACGCGAAGCTCCCGCTGCAGACACGCCCCTTCACACATTCTCCATACAACCACTCCACCGTTTCCGCGGCGCATCGGCTACCATCCAGCGGCCTCGTGAGATTGCTCACTTCTCCTACGACGACGACCACATATACCGGCCAGATGACTCGGGTATCAACTACTATGTCCCGCCCCCCATGGGCGTGGACCTCAAAGAGGGATTCGACACGTTCAGGCACTACGAGGAAAAGGAAGACCCGCATCTGGACAGCTTGCTGAAGGCGCTCATGGACAGCAAGACGGCCAAGGCACATGTCAAGGCAGACTTCATGACCTGGAGGGGCATGATGACCAAGGTATGTTGAGCAGGCTGCCGCGCAAACAGCAAGGTAAGCAAGCGCCTACCTCATACCGCTTCTCTGTTTGCTCAAGGCCGCTTCTAACGTTCGCCAGATAATGACGGCGCCCTTTGACAACTTTGCCGAGTTTTCCATGTTTGCGACTCTACACGACGGAACCATCTACATCGAGGAAGACTTTCCCTCACGAGCCGCACAACGTGCTGCAGAAGCCAGTCGACCACCCCCTCGTCACCAACATCCAGACCAGCAGTCGCGAGAAATGATGACGTACTGGGGCTACAAATTCGAGAAACTCGCCCTGATACCAACGCTGCCTTCGGAAACACCACCCCACGAAATTGAGAGGCACCAGCGGGGCATCGTGTCCAACCACGCCCAACACTGCTCCATTGTACACACATCGTTTGGCCCCCACAGTCTCATCCTTGGCGGCGAAGTTGATGGCCTGCTCGCCCCGAAATCCACCCATCCCGACCAGCCTCCGCAATGGGTCGAGCTCAAAACCAGCGAAGAGCTGCCTCCCCCGCACCTCCAACAACACCGCGACATTCTCAAGTTTGAACGCAAGCTCCTCAAGTTCTGGGCCCAGTCCTTCCTCCTTGGCGTCCGCAAGATCACCGTTGGCTTCAGAAGTAAGAGTGGTATTCTAAGGAGCCTGCAGACGTTCAACACACATGACATACCCGGTATGGTGCGCAGAGGTACAGGCTGCTGGGACGGCAATGTTTGTATTAATTTTGCAACCGAGTTTCTGGCCTGGTTGAAGCACGTGGTGCGTGACGAGGGTGTGTATAGCGTGAATCTGAGGAAAAAGAGTGGTGTTATTGAAGTGAAGAAAGTGCGCGACGGTGTGGATAAGATAGTTAGTGACGAGTATAGAAAATGGAGGGCTGAACAGGAAAGTGTAGATGAAGTGGACAAGGCTACAGGGGGTGGATCAATTGATAAGACAGAGGGCAAATCAAGTGGATAAACTACAATGCAGTCGCTTCTTAACATGGATGATAATACCTTCGTAAGAAATACAAAGCAACCCGCATACAACCTCAATGCAAAGAACCTTACTCCTTGTTTACTTGATCTAACGTGCTTCACCTATACAAATACTGTTATTCCCACTTTCGCTTTCTACATGTAAGTTGTATCTATCCACATAACCACTCCTTATAAAAACACCACAGATACATAGACAGATACCACGGAGAAAACTAGGTTGAAATGCTACCTACTTGATTACACTGTTTTAACTCATCACTTGTGTATTGGGCAATCTATGACTATAGACAAATCTGACATCTGGAATATACAATTTGCAAGTGTAGTTGTACATGTTTTCTTTTACAGGAAGCACCTGTACAGAAGTATATATTTATGAATTATGATTTCTAATTGGTAGAGGTATGTGCGTGTAGTGTACAGCAAATGATAGGGGATTCATTTGGTATGTTACTGGTTCTTGTATCGACATGAGAGCGAGGGTAGGCTTTACAGAAATAAACTCAATGTCGTTTTAGATATGTGATGCTGCAATTGAAGAAAAGGAGAGGCATTAGATATATTTACTTCACGTATATGATATTGGGATTGAAAGGAAGAGGGATGCTAGCTAAATCACAAGTAGGCAATTACGAGCTTTTGCAAAAAGAAAAAGTGTATCAGATGGAATCAGGACTGGACAAGTGTCACTTTAGATTCAGATTTCACACATGGATATTGTACAATACTCATTTTATCTGTTCATTGACAGTTCGTGAACCATATTTACAGTCCAGTCCATCCATATCTCAAACATTAGCAATCAGGAGTGACAATGACAAAGCAACAGAGCGATAGCAAGAAACACCAGTCAGACAGTATCCCAGCATCACACCCACGCATGCCGAGCCCACCTCCCGCCCATTCATACCATAGTAACATGCCACGAACATCCCAAGCACGAGAAGTCTATCATCACCTAATCTTCTCTCCCAAGTACTACATAGTAATCTGTAAATCTAAAAATAACCCCCCTCTCCATCCGCATCCGCATCTGCATCCGCATCCGCATCTGCATCCGCATCCGCATCCGCCTCCCTCCACACAATCAATGTCACACTCACAATCTCACACAGACACACATACACACACAGTCACAACGAGTCTCACGCAAGCGAGCAAGGGAGCCGGAGATAAAAGAAAAAAACATACGATGGGATACAGACGGCAGGCGGGCGCTCATCTCTTGGGCTCACCTACCCCTCATCCCTGCAAATAACCTAAAATAAATAAATACAGCGATATCGAAAATAAGTTAACTCCCCGCTCGCTTTTTTTTTTCTTTTTGGTCGTCCGAGCACTCGTTATCACGCACCACGCATCTTTTATTATTGCGGTTGTTCCGGAAAGAGAGAGAGAGAGAGCATGAGAGAGTTAGATAGGTCGTGTATGCACCATGTACCATGTACGCATATGCATCTATGCATCTATCCATCCATACATGCATGCATGCAGTGAGAGATAGACTTTTTGATTGATTATTTGTTTTTTTTTTCTTTCTCTCTTTCTCTCAGACTTTTGACATCTGGGGCCGTGTTGTCCGGGGCTGGGGCACTGTTGTCCGGGGAGTTTTTTTTTTGGTTTTTGGGGGTGGGCAAGTCGGAAGAATGGGAAAGTTCGGGTTATTTACTGATGGGGGAGAGTATGTGGGTTTGTTTGTATGTATGTATGTATGTAGGTGGGTAGATAGGTAGGTAGGTAGGTATGTGCAGGCGGAGAGAGAGAGAGAGAGAGAGTATGATTGGAGTGGGTAAGTTGAGTTGAATTGACTGAACTGAACTGAGTGAATGAGTGAATGAGTGAATGAGTGTTCAACACTCCGTCTGTTGAATCAACTCTGTACCCTCTCAATCTCCTCAATTTTTCCATTTCACTTTCTTTTTCTCATATTTCCCTCCCTCCCTGCCTCCCTCCCCCCCCTTTTTTTTAACCCTCTCTCTCCCACGGCGCTTTCCCCCAAACTCCCTGGTCCCCCCCTCCACCCACCCTCTATATTTCTTCTTTCTGTCTTTATTTTTTTTTCTGGGGGGTTTTTTTTGATTTGATTTCGTTACGCCTTGGCGATGAAGAACTCCTTGTCCCCTTGTATCTGGCAAGCGATTGCCGATGTACCATGTACGATGGAGAAGCCATGCAAGCGATGGCAACAAGCGATGGACAAGCGATGGACAAGCGATGCAACAATGGATACATGTCTTCCGTCTGAGCTCATCCCTTGGCTCTTGGCCTTTGGCTCTTGGCCCTTGGTCCTTGGATCTGGTAAACGCCTGATTGCTGATTGCTGATGGTGATAACACTCTCCCCCCCCCCCTTGTCTGCTGTGAGCCGGATTCCAGTCAGCCTTATGCAGAGTAAGCCCCGAGGCATAATTTCTGGGCAAAATTTCATCGGCGCAAATGACAAAGACGGGTAGATGGAGAAATTGGATGGATGCATGCATGCATGGATGAATGCATGGGGGAAAAAAAGGGCAATATGCACGCACAGCACATGGGCTTTGGTTGTAAACGCGGTCCGCAGCGTTAGAGAAAGGCGCAGGACCAAGACCAAGAATGGCAGGGCGCAGGTGCACGTGGGCAGGGGGGGGGGGGCAAGTCAGCAGAGAGGAAAGTACAGCACAGCACAGCATGGCACAGCAAAGCACAAGTACAAGCTCAGCAATGATATTCGTATGTATGTTTGTGGATATGTGTGTATGCGAGGCCGGGTGGAGGGGAGGGGAGGGGAGTGGGGGGAGGGGGGGGGCTTAGCATGCTGGGAGGGAGGGGGCAGTGTGGCACGCTGGCATGTACCCTGTTAGTCAATCCGTCAGTCAGGCAGGCAGGCAGTCGTCTTTCTGGCAGCCAGCCAGCCAGCCAGCCAGCCAGCCAGACAGACAGAGAGAAAGAGAGAAAGAGAACTCAGTGTCCAAGGATCGCCGCTCGCAGCTCACTCGCCGGCAACTCGGGGACTTGCGGAAAAAGGGCGATCCACAGCCCCCCCCCCCATGCCATGACATTCACTCAAGGGGCCCTCGCACCACACCCACACCTACCACACACCCCTCTCTCTCAAACCCATGGCTGGTGCTACGAGTACGGCGTCACGTCCCAATCTCCCACGACGCCCATCAGACGTGTTTCTAAGCCCTAAGCCCTAAGCCCCATAGGCCTTCTAAGCCCCTAAGCCCTAAGCCCCTCCACACCAATTACCCCCATGTCGAGGTCCGGTACGTACGTATCAATGTACCCGGCAAGCAGCCACTCCCCCGCCATGGCCGTTTGACAGGCACACATCGATACACACACACGCGCATGCCATGCCAACGCAATGCCACCTATCCCAGCCATGTCACCCGTCCACCGATGCAACCGAGCCGAATGACCCATCTTAACTCCGCCGTCGTCCATACACTGCGGAGAGGCTTACCTTGTCTTGTGCTTTCTTATTCCCATAGGCCAAGGTCGCCCGCCAAAGTGGGTCCTGCCGTCTTGCCAGCGTATATACGTACGTACGTATCTATGTAGCTTTACGGCCCTGGTCCCCGTCTACCCAGCAGTAGCGGCGACGACGACGACGACGACGACGGCGGCAGCGGCGGCGGCGACAGTGGCGATGATAACGGGACTTGAGCATATCTCACGGCAGACCCACCGACCCCCCCCCCTGCCTCCATTGCGTGGCTAGTCCCCAGATAGGCTTCCTGGTAATGTCTTTTTCTCGATCCGATTCAAACCAAGAAAAGTCTCTCGATTGGGTTGGCATGAAAGAGTGAGATGGAATTTGTCGGATGCGCAGAAAAAGGGGGAAAGAGATGAAGCGACATGCCGTCATGCGTTCCTGGTATTCGGGCGTATCCTATTCGGAATTATTCCGAGACGAGACTCTGTTATTTTGATTTTGTAACATGTGAGCGGCAACAAACGTGGGATGTTGGAGGGTGTCATGTTTCAGTTCATGCCTTGTCGGTAGTTGTTGTCGTTGTCGTTGGAAAGGCTCGTGGAAGCCTTAGCCCCACCTCAGATCGCTGCATCTGGTCCTCGGCCCAACTTGATTGGAGCTTTACGCAGGGTCAAAGGACGGTTCGGTTCGTTCGTTCGTTCGGTCGCATCGAGCCCGATCGAGTTCGCTTTCGTCTCCACCAAGTCGAGTCTTTGGGCCTAGTGTATCCACCAGGCAGTCAATCAGTCAACTGCCTTTCCCACTCAGTCTGATCCTCGTCCACCCATCCAGCCCTCTCTCTCCCCCGCGTGCCCGCATCGGCGCGTGCAAAGCAATGGGATCCTTGTATTTTAATCTTCGCAAGGCAGACACCAAGCCATGACCCATGTCGGAACCAAGAACGTCACCGCTTTTCGCACCCCTCACTCTTCTTGAACCGTGCAGTTCCCCATGTAGATTTTCCTTTGAAAGATCGATAGATAGTGCCACAAGACTCACTAGCATCGGCATCACAGCCCCTCCCACCCCCTTGCCCTATTGGGTCGCCCGGCGGAGCCCCGCGGAGGGCGGAGACAGAGACGGAGACGGAGACGCCAATGCCGCAACGGGCCTTTTATTCATACTTGGGACAAGGGCGGTTGCAAGCACCCGCAGCTGATCCTAGAATCCCCGCCGCAACAGACCTGTTGCATTCTGCAAATGGAGATGCTGGCGCGGAGGTTGGAAGCAGAATAAGACATGCTGGCCGTGGTGGGGTGCATGTCGAGCACAAGGGAAAAACCGCGCAACCAAGTAGGCCGCCGGCCGGGGGGACGGGACGACGACGACGACGACGACAATGAGGAATGATCGGACAAGCAAATTAGTTGGCATGATGCTGAACAAGCAATGACCCTGTAAGTCGAGTGAGAAAAGAAGATGCCATGGCCAAAGTGTGGAGGAAAAGAGGAAAAAAGAAAGAGTATCCAAGAGAAACACAGTTAGCATTGCCAAATCCGTAGCTTGCCTTGTATCTTTTTTTTTGTTAATCCTTTCAATTTCTCAATCGATTGTTCACCTGGTCTCCACTTGCTCGCTTGTCCATCGGCTGCTGACTCTCATGCTCGAGTTCTGCCCTTTGGCCCTTCTCACATGTCCCTGTCATGCGTCTTAGGTTAGATCCCAAGCTCTTCCCATGCTGTCATTGTAGTTTCCAGATTGGCCTGGTCTCAGCGGTGCCTGCGCTGTGCTGATGGCAGAGAAGGTGGGAACATGGATGCGCGTGGATGAGGTTGTCGTGTGCAAAGTGCCCAATCAGATCTAGCGGCTTAGCTCTTTCATCTGCGTCGATTATACTTAGCAGTAATGCTTATGGGCTTCTCCTTCCCGTGCCGAATTTTGGGCATGAATCAATTCGACAGGTGCACGGAGTAAGGCTGGGTCGCGGGACAATGAGAGAGAGGAGAAGGATGCCGGTTTCTTTCTGTTGGCATGATGGAGTGGAGACTAATGCAAAAGCCGCTGGGATGTGGAAAGCGGTCAACATGTCTGCACTTATTTCTCTCTGCTTCCCAAGGAGCTATTCTCGGGCTTGCTCTGTCCGTGTCGATATTACACCAGAATGCACACTGGTGGTTCTTTTTGTTGTTGTTGTTGTTGTTGTTGTGTACAGCAAAGTTCACAACTGCGTCGGGCTCAGCCGGGATTTCGTGTAAGCAAGTCTCTAGTACTTAAAAGGATCGCAACGTGGAAAGCAAGGTTTGGCCATACCTCCCTTTGAGATCCTCCATCGCAAGCAGCGGTCCGCACCGTAACACTGTCTGGATTAATTGTGCAGCCTATAGACAGGCAGGTTCAAACTCTACCGACATGTCCCTACCGAGATGATTGGGCGTGGCAAGGGGGGTTGCCAAAGGAGATAAGCATGCCCTTCACATGATCACGTGGCGGCCCCCAAAATGGTGTTACCCAAAGCATGGAATGCATGTGAAGGCACTTGCAGGTATTTCCTTGACTGGGTGAACAAGGAAAACCTTGCTCTTCAGTCTTGCAACGGGCCTGCAGCATAGCCTTACGTGCGCATAGCCTTCAGCATGCTTGATACGGTGTGTAGCGACGGGCGCAGCTGGCGCTCACCGCTCCAATGCGTCAGCTTTTTGATGAAGGCTCGCTACCCCAGAGAAGGCGGCGCATCGCCATCAGCCCATGGCTTTTGCAAAGCTGAGATCGATCGATCACAATGAAATTTTGTGTGCTGGGCTCGACATAACGCCGGCCGGTAATCGTGGATGTAACTATACATACAAATCCACGTGGCCCGCGGCGGTTAATCAACGAGGTATGGCCATGGGCTCCATAGGCTCGGGGAGATCCAGTCATGATCGGCGTGAGAGTTGACTGCAAAGAGAAGTCGGAGCGATCATATCCGGACCGTATGTGCTTACGTTGTGATCCGCGCGCACCACAGCCCTTGCGTGCCAGCATCTAGACTATTAGCAACATTTGCAGGTAATTTGCTCGCAACGTCATTGACGCGTTATTCAATGCGAGCGTATGAGCGTGCTCCTTGTGGCTTGAGGCCTTTTGGGTGGGTGGTCAGACGTGATCGTGTTGCCATGTCCCTGGGCTACATAGTACTTTGCCTGGGTCCCGCGTCTGCAACAGGCCATGCAGAAATGAAGCGACGGCCGTATGGCAAGGTGCTGACTGCTCGAATACGCAACCACATGGCTTCTAAAATGCGTTGGGTGTGTACAAATGTGGAAGTCGTGTCTGCTTTTGGACATTGCCACGTTCGCAGCCGTCTCCGACGCTGTTGAATGGAGTCGCGCCGCCTGCTTTGGTAGGCAAGGTTTGCACCAGAAGCCGTGTATCACGCACGTCATTCTGCGCAAGAGATTGCACTCGTTGCAACAGAATGGAAAAAAAAAGTCAGGCTGGCTGGGCAAGAAAAAGCGGATCGGCGGGTTGCGCGTGGTCATGAGTTGTGCACGACCTGAAACACAGCTGGTGCAATGTCGCGCCACTTTGCAAACGAGCCCGCAACTTGACCGACATGTGTTTGCGGGAAAGAAGGCGATTTGGGAGGTATCGGAGTTGTTGCCGAGGCGCTCCATACGTAAGAAAGGTCGGAGCATAGGGTCCGAAGATGCCATTTGGACGAGAAGCCGGCTAGTGAAACTGTTGAGCGCAGAGATGGGCAGGTTAGACAGGCTGGCTACTCCAAACCGACCTGGCAACAGTCAGCTTGGGGTAGTGGTGGAGTCGCAAGCTTCGCACAGAGTCTTTTGACTAGTCTTTGTGAGTCAGAAATGGCAAATGTAGCATGTGTGTCGATGTCGTGAAACTGCTCCAATGGCCATGCCGAGCGCCACAAGTCTGTGTTCTAGGTCGATGGGATATTTACGGGCCCATGTGGCTGTCGCGGAAGGACCTGTGGCAATTTCAGCCAGTCTATTGGAGCGCCAAATACGTCGCCAGGCTCTCGGACGTGCCGCAAGTAGACAGAAAAAATAGAGTTCAGGGAGTTGCCGAACTACCTGAAGACGGGAAGGGAAGGGTTCAGCGGCGCCGTTTGTGGAGCAAAAGGGGCGTTGTGAATCTTTTGTGTTGGTGCTGAGGCTGACACGCCCATCGACGGATAACGGGTTGTGAAAGCCAACGTCGACATGTAGGGGACTGTTGGTCGCCACAAAACCAACAGAAAGTCGTCTGCTGACCCATGCGCAGCTTCTAGAGCAGGCACGGACGGGTCAATGGTCGACGCGGTTATTATTCTACACGTATTGAGATTGCAATCTCGTGCCATGCTCCCAAGACTGGCGTCCCCCTCCGTTGTGAAGCTTGCAACCATTCATTGCAAATGGCAATATGTCATTGGAGCAGAAGACGCAATAAAAGAAAGAGAAAAAAAAGAAATTAAAGGGAAAGAACATTGCCATCTCCATCGTTGCAGGATCAAACTCAGGAGAATTAAAAAAAAACGCAGGTTACCTAGAGTAAGATTCATGTGGCTCCCGCCCTCGGGTCCTCAGCTACAGCTGCGCGGGCCGGACCCTCCTACGACGACTGACAGATGAGAGGTCGCGGCTGGCCGAAGTGTGACCGACTTGAGTTTTGCTTTTGGTGCCTGGGAGAAGGAGTTCACCGTCTGTAGCTTTCGGAATTTGTGGCGCCGTGTGTGATGGATGGCTAGCGCAAGGTCTAGCATGAAAGATCCGTATGAGCCGAATCTTCGTGATCGCCCAGGGACCTCTAGCTGTGATGTCGATCATCGCCGTGTGTATGCGTCCATGCGTATTTGGTGAAGTCTTGGTCCAAAGGAGCTTGCCGGCTGGCAAGATTGGTTTTCAAGGCAAGGGGAAGGATGCATGGCACGGCGAATCAAGGCGTGGACAGTGCCAAGGGATGCGCTATCAGTCAATAGAACAGATCGGGGGCCATCCTAGGCAAGAGTGGATGGATGGATGGATGGATGGATGGATGGATGGATGGATGGGTGGATGGGTGGATGGGTGGACGGATGGAGGCCGAGCGGGCGAGACCGAGGTGCTGCAAAAGAGACAGTCGGCTCGGGGTTGCGAGCGTCGTCGTCGAACCAGCGAGCGGACAAGAGCGTCAGGCGCTGACTCAATGTGTGGAAACGCCTGCGCGTACGATTTCCTGTTTGAGTATCATCATGGTCGACGACGTTGGAATGCTGAGCAGCGCGGTGAAGCAGGGCGGTGGGTACTTGGGACAGCAATGTTACCGTAGAGACGTCGGAGAAGGCCATTGCGACGCCGGTGTGCGGCCGCGCATTGGCATGGCATAGTCAACCAAGTTGATGTGCACAAATACACAAGATAGCGCCATGGCAGCCATGGGCGTGGGGCGTTGGTACCATGATGTGCGGGTAGGTGTAGATGGAAATTGCGCGCGTATGACGAGGTAGTCGTGTACCTACGTACTACTGCTACTACTACCGTCTTGTTAGCCTGCGGGCGATGGAGATGCAAACGTGTGCGTCGTCGAGCTTGCGCTGATCGCAGCCCACTTTCGCCTACTCACACAAGAGAAGTCACACTGTGTGCCACATGCTTTTCGGGAACAATCCGGGGCAAGCGAGCCACTTGGGGCGGAGGGGCGAGACAACGAGCCCATGTGACTTGCGGCCTGGGAAAAGGGGAGGGGTGCGGCCCCAAGGTGGAATTTGCACGCCGGCGATTCGTGCTTCCCAGAACATCTGGTCATAGCAGCAAGAGAAGTGTGATAAGCGTTAGGAGCGGCCGACCCTTAGTTGCTTGAAGCGACGGGCCTTTTGAGAGGCCGTATGGGCCGGATGGAGACTTTTTTTTTTATCTTTTCGAAACACGAAGGGTACAAGAAAGACTGGGTCATGTTGTCGAAGACGGATTCAATGATCAACAACGCAAGAAGGGTCAAAGTGCGGGCTGCGTAGCTGGTTGCTGTATATATGCCCGAGGCCTATAATTGCTTTGCTTAAGAGCTTGGAGAGCACCCATGATCCTGGTCTGCAGCCATGTCTCAGGAGCGGGCGGGTTAGATTTGGCGCGCGTCTTTGGCGACGAACTGTAGGTTGCGGGCTGTCAGAGGCTCAGAGAGAGCGTGCGGTGCATGGTGGAGGCACGGGGGGGGGGTGAAACAGACAGCGCGCGTTCTGGGAGCGGGCGAATTGTCAGTAGGGAGCAATGGCCGTTGGAGCCTGGTACCTGTCAGACGCCTTGTCAGCAAGAGAGCTAACGCCCGGAAGCCAGGAGGGCAGTGTCCGGCTCTACTGCAGGTGTATGTGCCTGTGGAGGGAGAACAGGTGAAGGCGCGGTGGCGGCAGGGCGAGGGTGTGTGTGTGTGTGTGTGTGTGTGTGTGTAGGTGAGCAGAGGGCAAGCGACAAGCGAAGCGTGTGACTTGCGAGTCGGGACCAAGTCGAGGCGCGATTCAGCCCGCATCCATGTGTGGCGGCTCTGGATGCAGCGCGCAGGGCCTGATGGCGTGTGTGGAGAGTGGATGGGTGGAAGGGTGATGGGTGGGTGGTGATGATGATGATGATGATGATGATGACGACGATGATGGATGGATGGAAGCAGGAGAGAGAGCAGGCGTGTGTGTGCGTGTGTGTGTGTGTGTGTGTGTGGCTCGGGGCGGCGATCGTGGGCTGGAGATGACGTTCCTGACTAGACGAGACGACAAGGCCGCAGCATCATGTGCATCATTGAATCCAGTTGGGCAGGCGACGATCCAGGCGGAAGTGGGAGCGCACGTCTGGGGGAGGAGCAGAGGACGCAGGCTGTGGGGCTGGCGCGTCAGGACCAAGGTGCGGTGCCGGTGGTGTTGCTGGCGTGGTGCTGGTGCTGGAGCTGGAGCCAGAGCTGGTGTGGTGCTGTCGTAGTGGTGTCGGTGGTGGAGGTGGTCGCGGTCGAGGTGGTGCTGTGCACTCCACTAGGCGCAGCACTCTTGCTCTGGGTGCTGCAGCTGCGCCGGGACCCGCTCTGGTCGTCACGAATCAGCAGCGGTGCCGTCATTGTCAGCCCCGCGCTCAGCGGCCGTGGCCTTGGCAGCGAGAGCGAGAGCGCGAGGGCGAGGGCGAGAGAGAGAGAGGGCGCGCGCGACAAGGAGAGAGACGGGCGGCGAGAGACGCGCAGCGCCATGGCATTGACGTCGCGGGCGAGGGCGCGCGACAATGGCCAACTGCGTGTGGCGCTGGGCGCCGCCTCGCCCTCGCCCGCCCCTGGCCCTGGGGTGCGTGTGGGCTGTGGGCTGTGGGCTGTGGGCGTGCCCCCCCCCCCCCTACAGCGCCTCGTGTTCCAGGAAAAGCCCGGCTGCAAATCTCAGGCACAGACGACGACCAAGAGGTTCGCAGGTGATGATGTGCTGCGCGATGTTCAGTCTTTGCTCCATGGGGCGTGATGGACGTGCATGATTCACTCCAGGATCGAGGGCCGAGGGGCGAGCGGCGAGGGCGAGCGGCGCCATGGGACGACGTTCACACCGCCCGTGCACGCTAGTCCGCTTGTGGCCGTCACTTGACCTGCGCTGCTCTGCCACGGCGGCCACGCTGCCAGCCCGCCCGCCAGCCCGCCCACCAGCATGCCAGCCAGCCAGCCAGCCAGCCAGCCAGCCAGCCAGCCAGCATGCCAGCCCGCCCGCCAGCCAGCCATGCCAGCCCGCCCTCTGGCCAGGGCCGCAAACACCATGACCGAGTCCACGATGCTCGCTGCGCTGCCCGACAACTGCCACACCCCCTCCCCCCGCCACGCCCTGCCCCACGGTGCGGTGAGCCGAGCCATGCGGGCACAGGCCCGCCCCCCGAGAAAGAGACGGACAGCAACAAAGAAACAGAGACAGCCAGCCAGCCCGCCCGCCCGCCCGCCCGCCCCGACCGGCCAACCCGCCGACAGGCCAGAGACAGACAGCCAGCCGGACGGCCGTCGAGCGAGCGAGCGCGCATTGTGCTGGGCTGGGCTGGGCTGGACCGCCGTGGCATGGCATGGCATGGCATGAGTGAGTGCGTGAGAGAGAGAGCAGGCAAGCAGGCAAGCAAGCACGCAAGCGACCAGCAGTCAGTCAGTCACAGGCAGTCATTCAGTCAGTCGTCAGTCAGTCAGTCGCTCCGTCAGTAGTGGACAGGGCCGGGAAGCAGACGCGACCGTGTGAAACATAGCGCACCGTCCCGGATCCGCGAGCATTAGGCCCTAGAGGGCGCTGCATCAGTCGGCGCGGTGCTGTGCTTGGCCTCTGCACTGCTGAGCGCTGTTCCGGCTGCATCCTGCTCTCTTGGCCATCTCCGCACGCGTCTCCCTCAGCATCCGACGTCGGGCCTGTTGGACGCCGCCGCTGCTGCTGCTGCGTTGGTGGTGCTGGTGGTGGTGCTGCTGCTGCTCATCGCCAGTGGCGGGCGGCCGTGCCCATATACAGGCGTACATACTCCCTACATACATACATACATACATACATACATGTACATGTACGCAGTCTCGTCGGCACACACAGGCCGTCTGACACCCAGCGACGCACCCACGCACGCCCGCAGCCACACCCACGCACTCGCACCCAGGCGCACCCACTCGTATCCGCACAATGGCCCTCGCCCGGCTCCCTGGCGGCCGTTGCGGTGTGTGGGCAGTGGCAGCACGCTCCCGAATGGGCAGAGTTTCGCGTGCTGCCTCACCAGCGGCCGCCGTCCAGGAACGTGAAGCTTACGCTGCCCTAACGTCAGGCCCTGGCAGCTGCGGAGTCATGGCGCGCTAGTTTAGCAGGGCCATGGTGCGGTGGGCGGCCGCCGTGGGCACAGAGGCACGAGGGAGGGCAGAGAGGGCGGTGGGCCCGGTGGAGCAGCAAGAGACGGAGCGAGGGGACGTCCAAGTCGTCCAAGGCCCAAGGCGCAGGCCGGGGCTCGACACGGCCAGGGCGCGCGACAGGGCAGCGCCAGGCGCACGACAGGGCAGCGCCGGGCAGGGCAGGGCAGCGAGGGCGAGGGCGAGGGCGAGGGCGAGGGCGAGGGACTGCTGGCCGGTGCTGGTGCTGGTGCTGGTGCTGGCACTGGTGCTGGTGCTGGTGCTGGCACTGGTGCTGGTGCTGGTGCTGGTGCTGGTGCTGGTGCTGGTGCTGGTGCTGGTGCTGGTGCCGGTGCCGGTGCGGTGCTCGCGTTGATCGTCTCATGGGCCAGAACCCGCGAACAGGCGGATGCGCCCCAAGACCGCAGCCAGCAGCCAGCAGCCCATGCCACCACGGCGGCCCTCACGTCCAGTCTGCCCGTCCAGGGACTAGCTGCATGCTCAGCAGGGGCGATCGCGACGCTACTGTGCCCATCAACTGTCGGCCAGCCCAAGCGGGCAAAGCACCCCCTCTCTAAGCGGCCACTCCTGTCGTCTGTGTCTCATGGCTGCCGGGTACATGCCATGTCCTCCCCAAGAAGGCACGTTGTCATGTAGTGCCTTCGTCGTCTGTCGCAGTCGTGCATACGCTTGACCTGCCCCGTGCACTAGACTCGCCGCCAGGACTCGCCATTTCTCTCCGACACCCCATCCCGGCTGTCGTGAGCCCAGATAGCGTGCTCGCGTTAGGAGCCACGTCCTGGTCTGCTGGCTGATGCCGCCGTTGCTGCTATTGCCTCTTATCCCTATTATCGTCCCGGGGCCCTGCCAACCCTGAACATACTAGTAGCGTCGCAATTCGCCGACGCATCAATATAACCCCCAAATATACATCGACACGTTCCCTGGACCACCTATTGGTACCTCCTCTCGGCCGCCTATATACCCCATATCGTTGTTTGCATTTGGCTGATCTTGTACGTGCGCCTCACCCTCTACATCTACCACAAAGTGGCCTCGAGACCCCATCCAAACAAAGTCCTGACCACTCATCCAGTTTCTCTGCTTGCTTCTGCAATCGCGAGAACCACGGCCAACCCCATAATATCGTCGGCCCAAGCAACCATCACACACATACACACACACACACCTCTCTCTCTCCCTCATACTCTTACTCTCTCTCTCTCTCTCTCTTTTCCCCTCATACACACCCACACACACACACACTCTCTCTCTCTCTCGAGCCGCTACAGACACCCACACACACACACTCTCTCTCTCTCTCGAGCCGCTACAGACACCCACCCGCCAACCCTCGGAGCTACCTACCCCACCTTCGGTCCCGCTCACCTCCAACTCCTCCCGTTTGGAAATATACAACCCCCACCACTTTGCGTCCTCGACGTCTTATATCCTCACATTTACAGAAACCATCTCCCTCTTCATCCGTTCTTTTGCCTCTCCCCAGCCCCTCCCCCCTCGGTTGATACCTGTGAGTTTTGACATTGGGATTCCCTTCTCTCCCGTTTCCACCGCTGATCATCCACCCAAACAGCTCATCTTACCAGGACACGGACTGTTTGGCTGACCGCGACCGGCTTTTCTTCATCCCGTCCCATCTACCTCTTCGACTGCTGTGCGATCGGAGATTCTCTCATGTGACTTTGGTCGCCATATACGATTGAGCCGTTTGTCCGACCTAGCTCCAACTCTTATACCATCCCATCAACTTGCCCTACGCAAAACCACCCATCAACCCAAAGACTTTTTCCCCATGTTGCAGGGTATTCGGGCATCGACTTTGACGATGCCTTCCTTTGGACATGACATGTCCCTCGGTGGTGTGCCCAAAGTGGAGGGTTACACCGATACCGACTCGTGGAACTGGCCCCAACAACCAGCCGCACCACAATCCTCATACTCGAGCATGTTCGACACGTCAATGTACACGGGCTTCACGCCTCCCATGGCCCAGTCGGCCCGTCAAGCACCCCGCCACCCTTCCATCGCCTCGTCTCGAGTAGTTTCGACGGCAACAAGCACCCCACCACCCCCCAGGGCCCAGGTCGCAGGCAGCATGGTCAAGGCACAACCTGCTTTCAAGCCCACATGGCACGGATTCCTGGACACGACCAAAGACGCCATGACGGTGGTCGAAGCGGCTCTTCAGGGCCGTCTCAACCACATCAGTCGCCGACCCCATGACAAGGAGCGCGCAGAGATGCTCACCTCGGGAACCGTCTTGGTGTACGAGGAGAACGCGTCTGGCATCAAGCGCTGGACCGACGCGGTCCACTGGTCGCCAAGCCGTGTCATGAACAACTGCCTCATCTACCGACAACTGGTGCGAGCGCTCAAGCCAGAGGAAAAGAAGTCTGCTCTGAACCCCTCGTGCGGCACCAAGAGGAAGCGAAAGGAAAGCAGCGGGCCCGTCAGGTCCAAAACTGGCGAGGTGCTCGAAACCTCGGAAGACGAATACGAGAACCAGACATTCGACCCTTCGCTCCCTGGCGATGCCGATTCCATGAACAAGGTCTACGCCAACTTTGCCCAAAGCTTGACACCGGATCAGCAGCGACGATTCTGCGGCTCGCTCATCGATAGCTACGAGTTCAAGGAGGGCGGTCTGATGAAGAAGACCATTTCTGTCAAGTACCAGGGCACGCACCACCACGTCATCTCGTACTATAGCCTCGAGGACGTTGTCAGCGGCAAGCTCAAGAGGCCGTTCCAGGACCCCAAGCTAGCCGATGTCCAACCCAGGCCCGAGCTTCTCAATGGCTGGAAGGTCAGCCTCGAAGACGAGGAGAGCAAGGACATGCCCCTTATCGCGGGCTACTCACACCACATCCAACCAAGCCACGTTCAACACCATGTGCTTGGACCAGTAACCCAGACAGTCGGAGCACAGGGCGTGATGCAAACACACGCACCGCTCCACCTCTCTGTTCCCGAGTACTGGCATGGCAGCCAGGTCCCCCAGTACACATCGAGCCACAACAGCCCGCAGCACTACGGCCCCTCTCAGCCAGCGCATCAATATCCCGTCCAGCAGCCTTCTCCGCAGACGTATACGCCACAGCAACACTATGCTCATCCTCCCTCTCCTCAGTCGTACTCATCACCGCACGCGGCCAGCCCGCAGTACTCGACGCAGAGCGGTCCGTCGTCGCACTATGCGCCGCAGCCACAGTCGGCTCGCCACTACTCGTTTGATCATCCATCGGCGGCACCGGCGTCGTACTCTCAGCATGGCCCTACTTCGCAATACCAAGCGCCACAGCCCACGTCGTATCCCATGACGCAGCCTGCAACGTTTGAAACTCAGGGCATCGCAGCGCAGGCCTCTCCAACTCAACAGCCAAGTCAGCTCCCGGTGTCGCAAGCTGACCAAGGAAGACGAGCGTCGGCGCCTATTGCGCTACAGCCATTTAGCCAACCGCAATTCCCAGCGGCTCCGCATCCTCACTCGTACTATGTCACGGACCAAAAGTATGGCTCCGAGGAGAAGTTTCCTTCTAGCGCACACTCTGGCTACTGAGCGAGTCTGTTGAAGATGGAAACAAAATGTTCCGATGTAAACTAGCAGCGCCACCCCCCCCACCCACACACACACACACACACACATACTTTCCAATTTGCGACACACAACTCCTACGATATATACCAAGCATACACGAGACCTTTCACGGTGGATGATTTGGATGCGATACCCCCCTTGGCGACATTTTCTACGGCGAAGGTGGCGCTGTTTTGACTAGAACAGTTTGGGTTCTTAGTTTGGCTCACACACAGAAGCTTTCATTATTTCCTAATTTACAAACAGAGTGACTGGGGGATACTGATTGGATGTCCCCCCCCTGCTTGGTCTGCATATATCATCATCATCATCAACTTGTCTGTCTGCGCGTGCTCTAATGTAGTTGCCATTTTTCTTGCGCACCACGGCCTTTTTGTACCCAAAAAAGCACTCTTTTGATGTTTTTGCACGCACGCGCAACTGGAGTACAAGAATCATCTGTTTTGCATGGCAAATATTGTTGTTGTTGCTGTTGTTTTCTTCTTCGCATGTGTATTCACTCCTGTCATGGCTGTTTGGTCTTTGGTCACTTTTTTTTCCATACCCTTGTACAACTATAATCCGATGCATGTACCTGGTCTTTTTGTTCAAAGCACGGCAAGATTTCTGGACTGGTTAGAGGCTAGGGCACGACGACGGGCGGCTCTTAGGCATCCGGTCAGATGTATCAATCCAACCTGTCCCGTCCATGGTGCATCTGGTGTCGTTTGCAGTGGCCTTGTCCACGTTGTGCATGCCACGCCTGTCCGTCTGTCTCCAATGCCGCAGGGTCACTGCGTGGCGCATGGCTCTAAGCCTGCGACTTTCCTCTTTCTACCCATGCACCCCACATGCCCACCAGCACCAGCATCAGTACAGCACCAGTACAGCACAGCGCAACACAGCACAGCACAGCACACCAGAGCCACATAGCCTCCCTCTCACCGCAAAATGCAGCGACAGCACGACGTTGAAGACGCCCCTGCACCGCCGCGATCAGCGCTCGCTCACCTCAGCTCATCTCAGCCTAAGCCGTGCTTGCCCCTCCTCGGATCGACAGCCATCTCACCTCTCACCGCAACTACCGGAACCCAGGAACTCGCTCTCGATTTGCTTTGCTTCCACGTTCTTCTATCCAGTGTTCCCTTGGCCCTCTCTGGGTGTACTCGCCCACACAGACCCATTACGCCATGGCATGCAATGCAAACGCCGTGCTGACGCCGAAGAAAGAATAGGGCAAATCGCAATTTCCCCTGCCAACCACGCCTCGCCTCGCCTCGCCTCCCCTCTTTCGCCCTCTATCCTCCCCTCTCTCTCCCCTCTCCCCTTCCCCCCCCCGCCAGGCTACTAGGTGCATGTGCGAGCGTGCGTGTGGCTATTATCGGCGGCCCACAAAACCGGACCCATCTCGCATGGTGGCCATGTCCATGTTCTTTTTTTCTCTCTTCACGTTCATGCAGCCGGGCCGATCGCGTTCGTTGCTCATGCGGTGCGCCGAGAAGGGTCATTTGTGGCTAGTGCTTGTTTGGGCTTGGTGATGGATGGGGGGCGGAACGCACGGCTGCCGCTGCAACGAGTTGCGAGCGATCATGTGTCGGACGGGGGGGACTTGGTGGTAGGGCTGGCTCCAGGCATCGTGTGGGGTGTTGCGCTTGCACCGACGGCCAGCGAGTGATTGGATGCGGTGTTTGATAAGGCCAAGGTGCATGAATTGGGTAGTCATGGTCGCGTCTTGGGTCGCATTATCGCCGCTCACTGGGCTGGACAAAGGCCACAAAGAGTCAGTGTCGACGCCCGCAGCCTATGACGATGCGTTGTTTGGCCCATGTCCGGGGCATGTGTGTGGCGGTTATGGTGGAGCTTACCCATATTCGACTTTCTCGAATTATGCTAAGGGCCCACTTGGCATCCAGGATGCCGCCTTTCAACAAGCTGCATGGGAACTGCCTCTCACCTCATTCCCACTCAACATGCTGTCTCTCACCCTCTCCCTCTCACTATCCTCATCTATATCCAACACGAAACAATAATAGGACTGCTCCATGGCCGAATCACAATGCCTTTCCAATTGCCGATTCTCTACCCTGCCCGCCCCCACTCCTCCAAAGCATCATGCTTGTGTGCATCCACAGTGGGGCGGGGACAACTCCGAGATGGATTGCGGTACTCTAGACCTCCTCGCTCTCTTCATTTTCAATCTCGCCGGCTACTAGTTGGGTAGGTAACGAGGCCAGGCATCCCGCGCGTCATTTCGCCAACTGGACATGTGACCATCCTTATCATCATCATCACCACCATCATCATCATCGTCTCCGCACCAAGGCCCATCAAGACAGCAAGAGAGAAAAGAAGAAAAAAAACACGAAATAGAAAACAAGGAAAACAAAAAAAAGAAGCAACGGGGACTGCCGTTCCTTGGGAGCCGCAAACACTTCTTTCTTTGGATGCAAGCTATTCTAGTCCAGCCCCCAACTAAAAAACAAAATTATAGGAAAGAAAAAAAACGAGAGAAAAAAAAAGCACGTGCAGTGAACTCATGCACCCAATTTCCCAAACCACGGTTTCCACAAGACAAGGTATCCCACGCACACAGACAGACACAGACGTACATACATATGGACACGGCATGAAAAAAAAGGAAGGAAAAAAAAAGTGGAAAAATAAAACCTCCGTGATATGCCCACTATCCCCACTTTCTACCGTCTTCATGCTATGTCCGGAGATATAGCAGCCAGCCAGCGAGCATCTACATGGACAACAACTACCCTAGTCCTAGTCGCAGCACTAGACAAGAATCATTCTCTGCCGCACTTTGTTTCTCCGACCTACACACACATACAGACATACAGACATGGCAAAACGGGGCCTCGGAGCCCAAGCTCGGAAACTTCCACACATGTCTGTATGTAAGTACTATGTCCTGGAGATAGGTGTAGGGTAGTGGTAGGGTAATGGACATCGGATAATGCACGTAGCGACAGCCAATAACAGTCGCACAACACCAACTCCGTCTCACCCATCGGCCCAACCCCCCCTTCAGTCATCCATGCCCCGTGTTGTGCCGCCGACCCGCCCTCTGGGATACACCCAGACCCGCACTTTCTTCCCTCCCTCCCTCCCTCCCTTCCTTCCTTCTCATCAGCGCCCGAAAACTCTCTTTTTTGGCCTCTTTCTCTCGCTTTTCCCCAATCTACAGCCCGCGCCGCCGCCCCCCCTCCCCCTGCTTTTAATGTACATGACATGACGCGCTGGACCGTGGTGCTGGGTATGCCGGGTTGGAGCGCCGTAGGGTGGGTCTGTAGGGCAGACGCATGGGCTGATGGGATGATGGGACGGGTAGGGCAGAGAGATGGATGGCCTGATGGCACGGGTAGGGCAGAGACACGGGCGGGTGGGTAGATAGGGTAGGTAGACAGACAGAGAGAGAGAGAGATAGGTGGGCAAGCAGATAGACTGGCGAATAGATAGGTAGGTAGGTAGGTAGGTAGGTAGGTAAAAAAGTATACCAATATCCACATTCACAACACCATACACATACACACATACACATTTCCAATACCTATCCTATCATATCCTATCCTATCATACTACCCCATCCCAATCCAACATGTATCCACACATACACCAAAACAAATGTCTCTATTTTATTTCCCCCCCTCCTCCCATACACCCGTGTACATGTGCAACCCCCCCTCGCCAAAAAAAAACTACGCCCATCTTACCATGTACATACAGAGGTGGCTTTCAAAAGTTCTTGCTGACAGGGGTTCCTTGGTTACCACCGAAAATATAGCCGAAGACTAAGAATTATACTATATTCGCAACTAAAAGCCCTTAAAATGGAAGTTTGGAGAGAATAATAGCTACTAAAGTATACACTTACAGTAATACACTAACTATATTAGGCATTATTTCTTGCACGCTAAGTAAGTAATGGAAACGTCATCACGAGAATTCGGTCCGATGGATCCGCGCCTTAGCAAGAACTTTTGAAAGCCACCTCTGTACTTAGCATCCATTCATCCATCTACTCATCTCCTATCACGCACAGATCCCCACGCAGCCCCACGCCCCAGCACACGCCTCACTCACACACACACACACACTCTCTCTCTCTCGCACACACAGACGTTGCATGTTCCATGTATGTATGGTACCTATGTGCGTGTGCGTGGTGTGAGAAATGCGGCCTCCCCATCCCAACCCATACACACATGTTGTCGCGTCTCCGATTGGCAATGCAATGCCATGCCATGCAATGCAATGTCAAAAAAACAAAAAGAACAATGGTGCTGTCATTTACATTTGCTGTATAAGTTAGTTCCGTCTAACTGAGGCGCTAATACTTGGATGTATGTAAGTATGTATGTATGTATTCTGCTGCTGCTGATGAGCCCTGCATTGTTTGTGTCTTTGTTGCTTCGCTCTGTCGTGCAACCTCGTTCGTCCATGCATGCATGCATGCATCCCATTTCTTTCCCCATACCCATATATCCAGCACATCACAACGACCCAGGGTTCTGTTCTGTTCTGCTCACTAGCCGCTCGCGTCCATCAAGTCCAGCCATGCCTCCACTCGACTGCAATGCAATCCAAGCATGCCGCAGACTTTCCTCTTTGGGCGCGGCGCTCCACGCCCCGTATTACTCCCTCGCACGTTACGCTAATCGCACCTCGCCTCTTTTATTTATCTATCTATTTATTTATTTATCATTTTACATTCGTTTGGGCGCGGCACATGGCACTGCACGCGCGGGCTTGCATGCTGCTTTTTGTTGCTGACTTGTGGTTTGAAGTTAGGCTTGGTTTGGGGGGGGGTTCTACCTACTTACTTACTTACTAGCTGATTCACGCTACTTACTTGGTTACTTACTTGTATTGGATTGGATTGGGGTAGGTGCAAAGGGCCTACACTCGAGCGTTTCTGCTTGCTACTTGGCGAGTCAAACAAGAAAACGGCTGGGTTATGCAGCTTTTTTCTCTTTCGAAACGACGTGAACCGTGGGTTGGGTTGAGCTGGGGGAGGGGGGCTGGATTGGCTTGGCGGTGAAGCATCGTATGTGTGTATGTGTGTGTGTGTGTGTGTGTTTTCGCTTGTTCCTTGCTGGCACTTGTTTACTTGCTGCATTCGTATCGTACCGTACGCGAAACGCACGAACTGCGACACCCGGACTCGACTCGACTCGACTCGACTTGTTCGACGGGCTGGCCTGGGCCGAGGCCTGGCCTGTCTTGCTGCTTGCGCGGGACCCTGGGTGCGCCGCCTGTCTTGCCCGCTAGACGGGCCATACCTAATATAGTGCGGCATTGTCCGGTGGAGTCTTTTTTTTGTTTGAGGCGGGAGGAGAGGGGGCGGGAGGGCGGGAGTGGATGGGGAGAAGATGTGTGGCTGGCTGGGGTGTAGTGGTGGGTGGTTGGTGGGGACCCTTGGTTTGGATCGCCCTTGTTATCGTTGTAGGACAGATACGAATACGGGGATGGGAGGAGAGAAAGAGGGGGGGGGGCTATTTCCTTTGCTTTCTCACCCTTTCACTCACTTGCAACGACGAAAATCCTGCACCGTTTTCGAGCAGGGCATTCTCCCTGCCCTTTGTCAATTTTGCCGTTGCTTGATTCAAGCTCTCTCGTTCTTCTTTCTCTCCCTCTTCCCTCCCATGTGTCGAGCCGTGCATGACAAATTAACCGCACATGATACTGTAGGGTGACGGTCATGTTTCTCCGTGATTCTCACCGACATGTCAGACTTTCGAGGTTTCAGAAGAGGATAGATATGTGCTCGATTAATGTTGCTGCATTAGTATCTTTCTAGGACGCGCGTAAAAACTGTGCAGCAGTCAAGCTAATGTGTTGGGGAAGAGTAGCAAGTTTCGAAACACGGCCAGATGCTCTGCTTTGGCAAGTCCAAGTGCTTGGTATCGCCAAAACGGCTCCTACACGCTCGACGTCGCCTTGAGCGTCTTCTGGATACAGGCGCATAGCTCGGGTATCCGAAATGGCTTACTTATCACATTGTCCATGCCGGCTTTCAACGCGACCTCAACTTGCTCACTGCGCACATTAGCCGTCACGGCAATGACGGGCACGTGTGTTCTTACGACACCTTCACGCTGCAGCTCGCGAATGGTTCGGACGCATGTCAGACCATCCATGACCGGCATTTCCCAGTCCATGAGAATGAGCGCAAGGGGTTGACCAGAGCCGTCCGCGACACAGTAATTGGTTGTGCGCAGATACTCGAGCGCTTCTCCACCGTGGTTCGCAACGGCCACTTGCATGCCCGTGTTGCGCAACTGCTTAGCGAGGACACGTTGGTTGACGAGGTTGTCTTCAACTATCAGGACGTGGAGATCTCCGTTGGCCATGTCGCTTGTATCGGTTTTTGTGGGACGGCACTCGTTTTGCTCGGCGGCTTCGTTCCGGCTCCGACTCGAGAGTAGTGTTTCCTGCGCACGTATGCTCACGCTGACTGCAGCGTCGCTTTCGCTCCGGTTCACGTTGGGGCGGCCCACGCCCTTGCGGCTCTTGACATAGAAAGAAAACGTGCTGCCGACGCCTGCTTTGGACGCAAACCCAATGGCCCCGCCGTGCATTTCAGAGAGACGCCGTGAAATGAAAAGACCAAGCCCAGAACCACCTTGGCTTGTTAGAGTTTGCCAGCAAAGCCTTTGGTGGAAAGCTTACCATAGTCGATATGTGTGCGCGGCGATGCTTGCGAAAAGCGAGCAAAGAGCAGCTCATGTTCTTCGTCGCTAAGCCCACGACCAGTGTCCTGCACAGAGAATATGATGTACACCTTGCGAGGTTAGAAAAGGTCACAAGTTTCGCCATACCTGACTCACTATGTCACCATTGTCCCAATCTGCTTGCAGTGTTTGTGCTTCTGAAGCTTCAGACGTGCGCGAAAAGGTCACATTACCGCTGGTACTGCGTGTCGGACGCTCGTGAGCTAGACCTAGGCTGACGCAAATTTTGCGCGTGTGTTCTAATCGTGTGAACTTGATGGCATTTGTGATGAGATTCTTCGCAGTTAGTAGCTGTCTTGTGGTCATGTAGATGCCTTACAATGAGTATCTGCAAAACACGTGTTGGATCCAGCGAAACATGTTGAACGTCGCTGATTTTGCACGACTCTTCAATCTGGAACTTCAAGTCTATGCCGGCTGACTTGGCCTCTCCTTCAAACATCTTGACTGCATCTCTTGCAATTGACTCGAGCTGCACGTCAACTGGCGTCATGACGAACAAGCCAGAATCAAGTTTGGATATCGTAAGCACATCTGCCGAGTCAGTCCCATCCTCAATCACCAGACTGTATCCCAATCATACCATCAACGATAGTTTTCATGTGCTTTGAGCACTGGACAATGGTTTCCGCAGCATCAATCGTTGTTTCCAATATGCTTTGATAGACTTTTTGATAGTCTGACGACTCGCCAAAACTCCTGTGAGTTGAAATGATGCTCTACAACAACAATCAGCATGCATGTATGCTTTGAGCAATGTCGCACATACGTCAGCGCACTGAACTATCGCGGATAGAGGATTGCGCATCTCATGCCTAGGACTGAGTTAGCTGATGTACATGTGGAAATGTTATCGTCTTGACGTACGATGTAGTGTCGATAAAGTTCTCCAAACTCCTCGGTCACTGAGTCAGTAGGACTCATCGTTCGATGATGACGGGATTACCGTTTAGACTCTCGAGCTCTTGCTGCTTGCTGAGCTTGGAATTCCTCACTCCACTTCTGTTGGCTTGACATTGTCAGTATTTTGGACAAATCTTGACGGGATTCGTACCTGATATCTGTGTAGCATCCAATAATCTCAATCACTTCGCCTTCCTCGTTGAGCTCCGGAAAAATGGACGTCAACACCCACATGGGCTGTTTCTCAGGTAATGCATCGTCTGGATTTTGGCTTGGCGCATTCCAACTCCTCTTCAGGCGTAATTCAAAAGATCTGCTCGGTATTAGCCATGCTTTGGTGCAAGAAACAGACATCCTACTGGTGCTCTTTAAACTCGATAAGTTGCCTGTACTTTGCTTGCCCCATTTCAATGTATTCATCGTCTACTATCTCAGTCCAGGCATCGTGAAGCTCAATATCACGATCTTTGGGGGCTAGCATCTCGTACCAAGCCTCGTTCCTATACGAGTAAATACCATCTATGCCGATGAGAAAAATCCCAACATCGGCGCGCTCCGCAAACCGCTTGAATTTGGCGAGGTTACGTTCCGATTCCAGCTGGGATTGCGTGAGCTGTTGTCTCAATTGGGATTTCATCGCTTCCGCCATAGCTATGGTCTGTTCGCGACGCCAAATGTCTTCTTCATGAAGCAGAATGGATGTGAGAGACGTGGAAAGCAAGCGACTGGCGACCTGGATGAACTGGAAATACGTCTCGTTATAAGGCCTCCGAGGATTCAGTCCAATAACTAAGAAGCCAAGAATGTTGTCTCGAGAGGATGTTGGGTTCAAGGGACAGATGGCTGCTGCTCTACATGGATCTCCAAAGCCCCGCCACTCTACGCCCTGGACTAGTTCTGCGGCAACTGGATCTTGATCAAACTGGACTACAATCGGTTTTCGAGCTACGAGAGCTTTTCGGAAATATGGTGTGAATCCGTGGTCATGCTGAAAGTCGAGGTGGTCGGGACCAGCTGGTGATTCTTTGGGGAGTCCAAAGGAGCCTCGAAGCCTGCAGTGTTGTTGGTTTGTATCGGAAAATCGAGTTCTGCTGGATGCCGAGCCAGTGGAATCAGCCTCGGCTGAGTATAAAAGGACAAAAGGTATGTCTTTCTCGTTTCGCGACAAGACTTCAGTGGCAACATTCCAGTACATGTCAGAGTTGCGTGCTCTCGGAATTTCTTCACTTAGTTCGAGAAGTATACGCGAACGTCTTTGGGCAATTACTTCTTCAGTCTAGTTATATTAGCAAGCTTTCAGTTGATTGGACGAACTCGTCGTCTTTGATCGCTTCAGTCTCAGGGTATCAATTGGCTGCAGCCTTGTGATATCTAGGCTGGTAAAACAGAAGAGGTGGCTTGACAGATTCATGGACAGGTTCAAGCAGTATCAGAGTTACCACAGACAACAAAAACAAGGGAAGGTTACAAAAGACAGGAATAACGTACGGTTTCCACCAGAGGTTCGTAATGGCCAATCGTCGCACCATCAGAGTCCAATACCGGGATGAACTTGAGTGAAAAGTAGGTTTCCTCCATGAAGCCATTGCGCACCATGTGAATGACAGTGTTCGTTTTCTGGACAGTTTCCCCTGCGAGATTTTTGTCGATAATGGGTTCGAAGTATTCGCCCCAAACCGAGGCAAGTGCAACGCGAGCACTGACTCCCATACATGGATGGAATCCTCCTAGAAGCTCAATCTCTGCTTCATTATAAATCATGATGAGATCAGGCCCGTAAAACACTACGGCAGGCTGCGGGTCTTTCATAACCAGATTGCAAATACTGCGGAGTTGTGGCGACCAGGAGTGCATTGGGCCCAGTGGAGTAGATGCCCAGTCAATACTTCGCGCCCATGACGCATGAGCCGACAGTCGTTTTGGAGGTATCTCATCTGTCCAGTCGAAACTCGGGGCCTTTGGGCTAGGAATTGTCCTGGCGAGGCTCATCTCAGGCTTGTTGCTACCTGTATAGTTGATAGCATGGACACCGTTAATAACATTCCAACGGTTCGCGACATGGACCCTTGTCCAGCTAAAACCATAGAAGAGAAACGGTTGGCTTGACGCGTCTTTTTCCAAATACCAGCTTCGGAATCGCCTAAGCGGTGCGCAAATGCTCTCATCATTTTCGGGTATACTGCTCTGACGAGCTAGCTGTTGTAACAGGCTGCCAGCATCAACATCAGCCATGGCCGAATTCCAGTAATCCAGCACATGGCCATTGGCGACATGGAGACTAGTGGGCGTCGCATCGACAACAAATGCAGGCCGGGGGTCTTTGTGCAGAAATTCCAGCAAGCCTACGCTTCGCAAGAGTAATGTGTCGTCTCGTAGAGGGACGACGGGAGCCGTGCGGCGTGGAGGTGAGGCTATAGCGTCCATTCCAGTCCCAACGCTGCATGTGGCGTCTCGTCCTCGTCTGGTGCGGACGTGTCGTCGAAACAGAATAAAGTACCCGACGTCGCTTGTGTCGAGGGCATGTGTGACCGGCCGTGATTGAGAATGATGGACAGAAAGCCCCAAGGCATCCAAAAGCCAGGCCCTCGCAATGTGGGTCTCCTAGCGCGCATGTTTTGGGACAATCGCGCATCCTGCAAAACAAGGTCCAACTCCATCTCCCCTGTGAGGCATTTGGCATCACCCAACCCGGCCACGAGCGCCGAGCCGAATCCACAAGAATGAGAGGCAAAATATGTAATCGCGCTCGGCCAGAGAGATAATCCGACGGTCGCTTATGCAGAGGCACGGCAGAGTCGGATGACGTCGCTGTTCATCCACAACACCAACGACAACGTCACGTCCTCGGACTATCCATTGCAGCATTTGAACTTTTGCTCAGCTTGATATCGCACTGGAAGGCTTGAATGGATGAACAATGTGAGCTTAGTATCTACCTCGTGACAGCTGACAGTACCATGCGGAATCTCAGCTACGAGACGCGAGAATCATGTAGCCATGGCTATATACCTTTTAGTACGTGTCGCAATAGGTTGGCCGTCACATTTTGTTTACTGTTCAGCAGGTATGTCTTCGAGTAGCTATTGCATAACATCGAGGTGGTCATAATAGGCCTCGGTAAAACTGATTCCTTTATGGTCACGTGGCTAAGCCAGTGTTGGCACTCTCCGTCGACATGTCAAACTGCTAATGCTGGATACTTGCCATCCTCTAGTGCTTACTATATGTCCCAAAGCTAAGTACTGGGATAAACGATGAATAGGCGATGAAATCTCGGCAACGGAGAATCAGAATTATGCAAATAGCCACGAGAACGGTTCGTCAGCGCACATGCCACAGCGGACTGATGCTCAGAGCACCTTGCTCAGTGCCCAAGCCAAACGGGTCACGACAAAACCGCGACTGCAATTTGATCTTATGAAAAAAAAAGGCCAAGACCTCAGGAACAAGCTGCCAAGCACCGATATATTCTTCCCTCAGGCTGGGTCCTGGCAACTGACAGCACGGACTCGTCATTTGCTAGCCTTGATACACTCGCCCAGGAGCCGAAACTATTGGAAAGCGGAACTTACCTTGCTCTACTTGTGAGTCTGACAATGTACCTCTTATGTCTCTTCTTCAGTCTTGACCGGAGCCTCCAAGCCGGTCTGGTACCTTTTTACGTTGGTCGCCGTCCGATGCCAGTAACACGTGTGGAAAGTGGGCATGGCCACGCCTTTACATGCACAAGACCCAACAAACGCACAGCCGCCAGCAGCTCATCTCGCCTGCGAGGATATAATTTCTATCTCAGGCTCGTTAATCACCGTGAAACAATATTGTATGAGCAGGGAGCGTTTCATGGAATCCTCCACATACCCGCTCCACCCACGCTATACTCGAACCGGCCGGCTAAAGATGCCGCCTCGGCCAGACGGGGCTTAGCTCCACCGCTGTGAACGTTTCACGCGGCGTTTACACCACCAAACGCCAGTCATGCCGGCGGGAGGACTGTCAGATCCGTTGGAGTGGCCCCGTCGTAGCGCGCGCAATACTGCATCTAGGCAGGTTGTGTGCCGGGAATTATCCTGTGGTTCAATTTGCGGCTCTTGGGCACAGGGCCAAGCTCCGGGATGAGCTTGTAACGAGTCAAGCGACGTCTTATATCTATGCTTGACGTGCCTCGTTCTTGGTGTCCATTGTTCCATTGCTTCGCTACGGTCATTCGTTGATTCATTCCATTCGTTGCTACGTCTCCTAGTAGACCATTCATTCATTTTTCTATACACCCACTACTTACAGCTGGTCTCTGTTTACCTTTCGATACAACAACTCACTCAAGATGTTTGCAAAGGCTTCTCTCATCAGTGCGCTGCTCAGCGCCGTCTCAGCTGGTAAGACCAGTCCTTAACTCCCCCAATCAATCCCATGCTAAGTCAATGCCACCAGAAACAATCTGGGACGGCCGCTTCAACGACATGACGTCGAGCGCCGACTTGGCCAAGTGGTCGTGGTCCAACCCCGTGGGCTCCTACCAATACTACATCCACGGCCCGGGCGCCGTAACTGAATACGTCAACCTGGGCACGTCGTTTAAGAACCCGGCCGACAAGGCGTCCAAGCAGGGCGCCAAAATCACCATTGACGAGACGTCGCGGTGGAACGGGCAGACGATGCTGCGCACAGAGCTGATTCCGCAGACCAAGGCCGCCATCAACAAGGGAAAAGTCTACTACCACTTCTCCATCAAGTCGTCGACGCAGAACAAGCCCACGGCCACAAACGAGCACCAACTCGCCTTCTTCGAGTCCCACTTTACAGAGCTCAAGTACGGCGCGTCGGGCTCGGCAAACACAAAGCTGCAGTGGCACGTTGGCGGCGTCTCCAAGTGGGACACGGAGCTCGTTGCTGACGAGTGGCACAATGTCGCCTATGAAATCGACTTTGACGGTGGCTCCGTCTCTTTCTGGCACTCGACCGGCAGCGACGAGCTGAAGAAGACGGCTGGCCCTTTTACCGCTAGCACGCAGTCCAACGGTGCGGACTGGCACGTGGGTGTTCTGAGGCTGCCTGGTTCCGCGGATGCTGCTGGGGCCGAGGACTGGTTCTTCAGCGGCGTGTACATTGAGGATGGGTCGTTGACGACTAAGATTGGCGATGGAGCAGCGGCTGCCGATAAGCCTGCTGACAAGCCTGCCGACAAGCCTGCTACTCCATCTGCTACTCCCACTACTCTGGTGCCCGTCGCTTCTCCTAAGCCCGCTGATTCCGCCCCAGCTGCTTCGTCTCCAGTTCCCTCTGCTTCCGCTTCTCCTTCGCCTTCGCCTGCTCCTGCTCCCGCACCTGGCTCTGGCTCTGGCTCTGGCTCTGGCTCTGGCTCTGGCTCTGGCTCTGGCTCTGGCTCTGGATCTAGCTCTGGCTCTGGCTCTGGCTCTGGATCTAGCTCTGGCTCTGGCTCTGCCTCCGACGCCGTCCTGCCCAAAGAGTTCACCATCAAGGAGTTCATCGCATGGCTCCGAGCCAAGCAGAGCCAGAACTAAGTTCCGCACAGCATTCCAAAAAAAAACCCCCCCTCCCCCGAAGCTCAGCCTCGCAACCCAGCCACTGTAAAAAAAAAGCCGTCGTCGTATAATTCTTGTAAATAACCCTTGTTGTAGTGCTGTTGCAGAATGTAGAAATAAACTCCAATTTTGTTGTTTTTGTGTCATACTTACTCGTTGTGTCCATGTATCCATGTAAGTAGGCCGTGCACGCCCTAAAAAATGAACTTTTGTCGCAGGTAAGAAAGAAAGAAAGAAAGAAAGAAAAAGAATCGAGAACTTTCAAGAGCCGGACGCGCAATGCTACAACTCATCCCTCTCATCTCCATCTTTCAACACCGCAACCATCTCGTTGCTCGCTCTCAAATGCTCAAACCGGGGTGCGTCTTCTCCCAATCCCCAGGCGAAAACACCGCCTAGCCCTTTGTCCGTGATGATAATCTGCATCTTGCGCTTAATCGCGTCGGGCGAATCCCACGACCAAAACAACCTCGCCTCTTGATCCCAGTAGTAATGTCCGCCGCCCACGTTGTCATAAACGCCCTTTTCCATTGCGCGCTGGAACGACGCCGAGAGTTGTGCGGGGACGGCATCGTGCCAGGAGAACGCACCTGCTTTTCCTAGGTCGGCGCCGGTAACGGGGTCTTCCATGAGTTCTGTAGGGCATCCAATGGGGGTCGTACTGCAGTTTGCGTTTGGGGCTGTCTTGAACCATTTGATGTAGAAGGCTAGGCCTAGATTGGCTTTCTCGGGCGGTACCCCGGCATCGAGATAGGCGTTGATGGAGTCGAGCGAGAGCTGCAGGCCGGTATGGTGTTTGGTTACGTTGTCTCGGCGGTTGAAGAGGTCGTATGTCATGATGTTCAAGTAGTCGACGGACGCCAGGATGGTGGGGATGGTGGCGGCAGTGAAGGCGAGCATGTCACGTGGGAGGCCGGGAACGGCAGCTGAGATTGTCTTGTCGGGCCCAATTGCGGCACGGATGGCGGCGAGGAGCTTGGGGTAGGCCTCGATTTCCCAGGCTTTGTCGCTGTTGAGATGGCCTGGTTGCTTGTAGTCTTCGCCGTTGCCGCCGGCGTACTCCCAGTCTACGTCGATTCCTTGTATCATCAGCGAGGGTGTTTGCTCATTTCAGCACATTCTGTACCATCTGCGCCCGTCGCATCCAGCATGGCTTTGACGTTGCTTGCAAAGAGCTTACGGCTTTCTTCCGTCTTTGCACCGGCCGAGAAGCCCTCTGTGTCGCCCCATCCGCCAATGGCAACCTGAACGATGGTTCCTTGAGAAAATTTACGTCTGACTTCATCGATCGTAGTGAAGAGCGGCCATTCGCTTTGCGTGGGATTGTTGAAGATTACAGATTGCATGAAAGCAAGGGCTACCTCGGTGACGTCTTTGACCAGCGGCTGCTCCGGCACTACGTAGTGCTGTCTGTTGGCAATTAATAATGTGGCGACATGCAATCTCTCTGGTAATGTTGTACCCGGTCAAATACATGACATATCGCAGCTTTGGATGGCTTGCCGTAGCACCCGCCAAAAGCGAGGCAAAGATGAGGACTCGACACAGCCAGAACTGGCTGCGACAGGGCATTTTGCTATCAATGTTGCAGAAACTATTTTGCGTCAGAAAAGAATAGGAAAGGGCAATATAATGCTGATTACTTGCCTATCCTAAGATATGATATCAAGGGTGAACTATGTTTGAGGACAGGATAGAGGGATAGTGTTGCATACGTACCCCGCTTGCGACTCCTCAACATCCCGTTTCGGCCCGTGCTACGTACCCTTTCCACATGTATGTTCATTTAGCTACAAACCTTATTTCTGTTGCCTTCAATATCAGTCAAGCCTTGACACGCAACAACACTTGATTTGAAATGACATCTCCCTTGATTCCCTCAATTCGCGACACAGCGTGCAGCTCGCGCTGGACTGTGACTTGGGTGGAAAGCGCACATGACAGTACTTGCTCGAACAATATGATTGCATTTTGCGTTACGATGAATTAGAAGGCCTTGAACCGCGTCTATGGCGAATTGCAAAGGAGAAGCGTAGATTACCATAAACATGTCCCTGCTAGTCCAATAACCTTGCAGCAAACTGTAGACTCGGCATGACCAACGAAGCCCGCATACCCCGATGATTCGCAAGAGAAGCATACTAAGATGCAGGTGGGGACACGCTGTATAAAACAGTCAATGGTGTTCGCAAAAATTATGCAAAGACAGCGGAAGAAGTGTCCTAGACGTTATTTTCTTCTTCTCGCTACTAGCACCAGCAACATGAAAAGATTAACAAGGAAACTATAGAAGTTGAAAAGTTGGATGATGATAATAATTGCGTCGATGTAATAAAATCAAGAAGAATGAATCCAAGTCGCCGAGACCTGATTCCTAGCTTTGAGCCGATCCGCAGCTGACTCCTCAAGCGCCGCCCATCTCGCCTTCTCGTCAGGGCGCAAGATGCCAGGAAAAAACGTGTCGAGGAGGCTCCGCCCTACATAGGGCAACGTCTCTTCAACTTCAAAAAGGCAGCTCATGACTTTGGGGTTCCCAATCACAGTTTGGAATTCAAGGGGGATACCGAAATCAGCGGGACTGCGCCGCCAGCCAGCGACAAAAATGTTCTGGATGATGCCGATGGTGCCGACGGCGAGCAGGAACCACGAGTGTTCTTGTATGCCGGCGGCGGTAATTAGGAGCAGAATCCAGCATGCGGCGAGGCCAAAGACGGTGATTCGGGTGGTGTACGAGGCGGAAACATTGACGTTTGTAGGGCCGGCGGCTAGGTCCTCGAGATCCAAGCCTCGGCTGTTGGCCATGATGACAATGGCATGCTGGCTACCATTTCCTCTAGTCAGAATGACGGTCTTGTTCGAGTTGCGGCGACACGCCCATTTCTCGTTTGCCCATTGCGATAGACTGCCGTTGAGCAGAGCCAGGACGGTGCCAATGGCCGTGACCAGGAGGATGCTCCAGTCGCCAAATAGGAAGCAAGGAATGGCGGCGATGAAAAGCTGGAGCACGATTGTCGCCAGACCAAGTAGGTAAGAGCCGGCTCGCAGGTGACCTGGCCGGGCCTGCAAGGCAGTATAGACGGATACGCAGAGACCAGTTTGCGAGGGACGTTTAGCGGCAGAGTCTGTTGCACGCAGGACGGTCCATTTCTCGTCAATCATTTTCTCAACGCACGACTGAATCGGGCGGCTGCTATTTCCCTCATCCATCCAGCTCTCAAAGTCACGCACAACACGGCCGAGGATCCAGCTGCAGTTGTCGCGGACGTAGCCTGTCTTTGCATTGATGATTTTACACTGACAGTCGGGCAGCGGCATGAGCTTGTTTTCGCCAATGGCGGACACGACAGCTGTAACTGCGTATGCGACCCATCCTGCTCAGGTAACGCCAGTCAGTATTTGTTTCAGCCTGCAGTCTGTGACTTACCGAATGAAAAAGCGACTGGCGCTATGCCGGATCCAGCGAGCTGTGCAAGGGCGCGAGCAACGACATCACCGCCGAGGATGAGGAGCACAGAAAAGACGTCTGACGGGTTTTTCCACTGCTCGCTGAATTCGTGCGAGGGGATCCCAAAAGCGAGGACGCGGCGAATGAAGAGGTGAGCAGGGAGCGCGGGCATGCTGAGAAAAAACGAGCTTAAAGACTGATGAAAACGAATGAGCAAGACTGGCCGAGTAGAAACGTTCGTGGAAGATTAGTAGTTCTGGGGCTTGCCATGTGCTCTTGGTAGGTGTAACGGGGCAGGCGAAGTCGATCTGTGAGTGGGGTGTCCTCGCCTGCATATCCAGAGCGAGACGGCCGGCCTGAAGGCTGAGCAATACGAAGGAGAGGCGATGGCTCAGCTGAAGATGCATATTGCAGCGCTAGCGGAGCACGCCCTGGCCAATCACAGCGCCACAGTCTCAGCCTCGTGTACAGTCGTTGTGACATGCCGACAAGGCCAATTATGCCCCAGGCGGATGGATCAAATATCGCTGACATGTCTGATCCCGAAATACTGTACTCTGCCTCGCCTCACGCTCCGTCCTGCCTACGCTGACAAAATGGCCACCCCTCTGACGTGGGCCGACGAGCAACAAGCAGCACAAGACCATCGAGACAATGTCCAGCAGTTCCTGCGCACAAACTATGTCGGCGCCGAACGCGCTCGCCAGGCATCTCTCAATGAGTTTAGAAACTGGACCATGGACGAAGTCACTGCGCTATTCCACGACTATCCCCCACTGCCAGACCGGCGCCTGTATCCCATGGGCCCGGACTTTCGCTATCCTCCCCCAAGAAACAAGCGCTACACCGAGCTCGCCGCCAAGGTCGCCCTAATGGGCTTCGCCAATACCCTCGCTGTCGCTACCTCGCCCTTGACGCTCCCCTTTATGACCAAAGGGCAGCGCAAAGAAGCCGTGACGGGCCTGAAAGACATGAACAAGCAGGTGATATGCTCGTCGTTTTTCGTCTCGGCGCCCCTCGATCTCATGGAGCAGGCCGGCCTGCAGAACCAGGCGCTGTGCGTCAACAAATGGGGCCAGTTCCGCATTCTCGCCTCGTCGTATGCCGCCATTTCCCATGTCTGGGCCGAGACCATGGGCCTGCAATTCAACGACGAGAAGATTGAGCAGGACGAGCGCGGCCTCCTCATGTCACACTTTAACAAGATCATGGACAAGGCGCTGCAGTGCGGCTATGAATGGATATGGCTGGATCTGCTCGCCATCCCCAAGAAATCGAGCACCGCCAGCAGCGACCAGCGCATGACGCAGGTCAAGACGACCGTCATCAACAGTCTGCACGCTGTATACCGCAATGCCAGTGCCGTGGTTGTATTGGACTCCTTCACCCTGAACCTGCCTTCCGCCGACCCCTTGCGCGCAGCGGCAGCCCTCGTCTGCGGCCTGTGGCTCACGCGCGTCTGGACCTACCAGGAAGCCAAGCTCGCGCAAAAAGCCCTGATAGTAACCGCCACGCACGTCGTCAGTCTCACAGACATCATCTCGATCCTGTGGACCCAGTCCCAGACTAACCCCTCCAAATGGAACGAGCTCTACAAGACATTTGCCAGACTCCAGCCCGTCCACAGCGTCGGCATCAACCTCGCCGACATTGCCCTGTCATCCACCAACCGCAGAACAGAGAACCAAGTCGACTACGCCCGCGGCTACTACGCGCTACTCGGCCTGCAGTGGCAAAAGGGCTGGACGTATGAAGACGGCATCCTGCACATTTACCGCTCGCGGCCCCACGAAGTCGCCATGCTCGTCTCCATGCACAGCCCACGCGGTCTCCCCCAGCCGCTGTCCTGGGCACCCCGCTTCCTCGCTCAGGAACAAGGCGCCTCGCAAGCACCGTATGCCTACAATTTCAACGGCACGGGGCTGGCCGGCCCCTGGTACACGGCCCTCGTGCGGGGCCTCGTGCGCACCGCCGCGTATGGAAAGCCCAACATGGATGCCAAAGAGGACAATAAGCTGGCATTTCAGCTGCGGGTCGAGGACGCTGCTGGCGCGCTTCAAACAGCCGTAGTAGTCACCTGGGACTTGGACTGGACCCCTAGGCTGCGTGAATGGGTCGGCCTCATCGACACGGGGAGCGCGAGACTCATCTGTCCATCTCCCATGGCTTCCTATCAGTCAGGTCATTTTCCCTCGGTATTGCTGGCCATCCAGAGGCCGTCAATGCCTGGATACGAAGCAGTCGGTCATGTTTCAGAAAGCGCCATCTTGGTCAATGGCAATGTTACCGCCCCACGCCTGCAGTGGTTGCTGACATAGCTCCACAAACATGCCTCACTATGCTGGTTGTTCATCTCTGACTAAGACCAAACTTCTGCTTGCATCTAATGAATTAATGAAAAGATACCTACAAGAATCCACAATTTCCTACTACGCCACACTTGCCTTCCCCTTTCGCATTCCATATCGTCACTGTGCAAAAGCGGACTAGCTTCATACAGTAGATGGCGTCTGTTATCCTACCCAATGACCCCATAACAGTCTAAGCAAAAAAGATATCAAAAAAACAAACAAAAACATACAACAGCGGACATTCGCCAGTGGTCACCCACCTGCCTACTACGCCGCCGGTCAGAGGTTTGTCTGCTGGAGTACGGACGGGATCCGGAAAATCTCTCTGCCGATGGTCGTATGTACTGTATATGCTCGTTACTTCCAATATATACCAAATGTGTTGTTTGAGAAGTTTACAATCAAACTTGAAGTAGTAGGCCCCTATGCAGAGTCTATTCGATTAGCAACTTCTGTTGTTAACTCTACTATCTTATTCTCGCAAGTTATGTTTTTACAGACATCCATAACGTGTTTTACAAGCGAGCGCCGCGTACAAGCGAGCGCCGCACCCTACCAACTTTGTGCACCTCTCTCATCTCAATACATAATGGCTTAACGCAACGCTAGTTAGTTAGCTTTAAATAAAGCAGATATCTAGCTTGCTATATCCTCTATTAAATCTAGTTAGATACAGAGTAATCGCAGTGCTGCTGCTATCTATAACGTGTTAGAACGAACAATCCGCCGCCGACGCGTCGGCAAGCCTGCCTAACGCGATTGCTAGCCTAACTTAAAGAAGCTTACTAAGCTAGAAGAGCAGGTAATAATTAATTATGTACTTAATCTAGATCTACGTGGATTTTCGCCTACCTATGCAGCTGTGCGAGATATAGCTAATAGACTGCTAGCTGCGCGCGGCGCTAGCTAGGTTAGCGTCCACTAGCCGCGCAACTTTGTTAAGCGTACTAATAGTCTTATAACGCGTTTTAATTAAGCGTATAATAGGCAGAGAGCCTTATATAAAGATCTAGTCTTAATTAAGAGCTAGTTTAAGCTTATGAAGAAGATAAAGGCTAAGTATAGCATCTATAACAAAGACGTCTACAACTTTAACAAAGCAAGCTTTATAATAGGCAAGATCGCAACTTAGCTAGTTGTTACAGCGTTAGAGAGAAGAGGCTAGCTAAAGGCTATTTAACTAGGTGGCTGAGAGTAGGTAACGTTTATCGCTGGGATTAATGCAGCTAGCTAGTCTATCCCACTGTTCCTTATCTTTACTAGCAAGCATTACTGTAACGGCGCAGGTAAGGCAGGTCGGATCTGTTTCGGTCGTAGGATCACTCAGAGGCATATGGGAGTGCGTGGGATCACAAAGAGCCTAGATTCAACAAGCCACCTATAGGCCTTGTACGAAAGGATATCAAAAGTCTACAGAGCTAGCTACAGGGAGTGTCTCAATATATACCTATCCTAGTCGGGTCCGAATTCGGATCCGACCTCGGGCGAATGGCTGATGAAGGGCGGCAGGTACTTCCTCCGATCCGGCTCTGGGATTGGCTCAATACTTGGCGAAGTTGTAACATCGTTACAATTA